GCCGCCGCCGCCGCCGCCGCCGCCGCCGCCGCCGCCGCCGCCGCCGCCGCCGCCGCCGCCGCCAGAACACAAGGCTGCAGGCACTTCTGCGCACGTCCGGCCCGAGGCCGCGCCGGCGCCCCGGATTGGCCGAGGCCGGATTACACGGCCGCGCCCTCGCCGCAAGGTCAGCTTCAAGGACTGCTGGCAGGGCCCGTGAGTCGCGGCTCCGCTGCGATCTTGGATGCGGCCGGGCCCGGCGGAGACATGGAGGCCATTAGGACGCGGGGCGGGAGGAGCGGGGCCCCCTGCCGGCGATGGATGCAGGGCTCGTCAGCGGCCGCGGGGATGGTGGTACTTTCTCTTCAGGCAAGGGCGGCGCGCACCTGCCGGAGGCGCGCAAGGAGGCCGGCCGCGGAGCTGCGGGCGGGACGGGTGGCTGCGCGCCTGTGGGGGGCGGGGCGGGGGGCGGCGACGGCGGGACCGGGGCCGTCAGCTCCGTCAGCTGCGTCCGAGCGAGCGTCACCAGCGCCGCGTGCCCCGCAGCAGGAGGCCAGGCCGCCGGCGCTTCTGAGCCTCGGGCCGGAGTCGGTGGGAGAAATCCCGTCGCTGAACTGTTAGAAGATACATTTTTTTTTACATCTTTATTGGAGTATAACTGCTTTACAGTGGTGTGTTAGTTTCTGCTGTATAACAAAGTGAACCAGTTATACATATACATACATCCCCACATCTCCTCCCTCTTGCGTCTCCCTCCCTCCCACCCTCCCTGTCCCACCCCTCTAGGTGGTCACAAAGCACTGAGATGATCTCCCTGTGCTGTGCGGCTGCTTCCCACTAGCTATCTGTTTTACATTTGGTAGTGTGTATATGTCCATGCCACTCTCTCACTTTGTCCCAGTTTACCCTTCCCCCTCCCTGTGTCCTCAAGTCCATTCTCTACGTCTGCGTCTTTATTCCTGTCCTGCCCCTAGGTTCATCAGAGCCATGGTTTTTTTCTTAGATTCCATAGATATGTGTTAGCATACGGTATTTGTTTTTCTCTTTCTGACTTACTTCACTCTGTAGGACAGACTGTAGGTCCATCCACCTCTCTACAAATAACTCAATTTTGTTGCTTTTTATGGCTGAGTAATATTCCACTGTATATATGTGCCACATCTACTTTATCCATTCATCTGTCGATGGAAGAAGGTACGTTTTTATCTTGTAGGGACTTTGTACACCAAACCGAAATTCCTAATTTTAGTTTTGCCATTAAATGTCATTGAGGCTTTCAAGTTGTATGAGAAATGTTAACAGTAGCTTCTGAAACATTAATTTTATTTTGTTAATAATGGGAAGAGGTACAGGCTAAAGCACTTCCATGAGAGGTGTTAGTTGCTAAAGCTGTCATCCTGCCATGAAAACCAAGGCCACTTCTCAGGGCAAGTGAAGTCTTTCCAGGAGGGTCATTTTCAGCAGGTAAAGAGCTGTGGCCAGGCGAGCAGCAAGACTGATGTGTATGCTTATGTGAAAAAAATACCTCCTGCCTGGACATGCAGCCCCAAATAATTGATCCTGAGGCTGAAAATCCCAACTCAAATGCCTGTCCTTGGGACACTGGAAACGGGCCAGTGTTCTGCCCCAAACCCAGTCCCCCTACATTAGTTTAAAAGGCCATTGTTGGGACTTCCCTGGCGGTCCAGTGGCTAAGACTCTGTGCTCCCAATGCAGGGGGCCCAGGTTCGATCCCCCGTCAGGGAACCAGATCCCACGTGCCGCAACTAAGAGTTTGCGTGCTGCAATGAGGATCCACGTGCTGCAACCAGGACCTGGCGCAGCCAAATAAATACATGAACATTTTTAAAAAATTAAAGAAAGAAAAGGCCATTGTTGTCCCCACCTTTACATTTGCCATTTTCACCACTTCTCTTCACAATCTTAGCCAAAACTGTCAACTCACTTTTTGAAGAATGGAAATATAAAGGAACTAATGTAAAGTCCTAGAGGATAAAAGTGCCATCAGTTAGGCCAGGAAGAGAGCACCTAGATTTCTAAATGGATTCTTCTGTCTGCAGTTACCATGTGTTGTCAGCTGACAACGGGCACTGCTTTGCCTCTTCAAATTACACTTTTCCAGAACATTCAGAAAACCCTGCACAAGCACCTAAGAACAACGGAGCAAGTGCTCTTGCCTTTGGGACAGGCTCCAGGCCTGTGTCCCAGCCAGCTCCTGAAGCCATCATTTGCTTCTGGGAAGAGTCACAGGAAGGAGGCTTAGACCCCTGGGGGTTCAAGGTCAAAGGAGAGAGGCTGAGGGGTAATGGAGGCTGCTGCCTCCCTACTGAGATAGCAGCTGGTAGTGGAGAGGCAAGCCTTTGCTCGCTAAGGGGAAACCACGCTTCCCGCTCCTGCCTGGGGAAGGCAGCCTCTGACAGCAATTCCAAACTCAGCCAATGATTGTTTTTAGTTTTGGTATTTTCAATTATGAAAAAGTTCACACAAAATCCACACGTACACAGGTAGAGAAAAGAGCACAGCAGGTCCCTAAACATCCTTCATTAGTTCAGGGGTTAAAAAGAACCATGGAGGCTCCCCCGGTGGCGCAGTGGTTGGGAGTCTGCCTGCCGATGCAGGGGACACGGGTTCGTGCCCCGGTCCGGGAAGATCCCACATGCCGTGGAGCGGCTGGGCCCCTGAGCCATGGCCACAGAGCCTGCGCGTCCGGAGCCTGTGCTCCGAAACGGGAGAGGCCACAACAGTGAGAGGCCCGCGTACCGCAAAAAAAAAAAGAACCATAGAATAGCTTTGCCTGTTCTAGAAGTCCAGTAAAAGATGCACTCCTTCACATCTGGCTTACTTCAGCCTAATGTCTGTGAGAGCCACCCACGTTGCAGTGTTTAGTTTCTTTTGATTGCAGTATAGTATTCTGTTGTATGGATATACTACAGTTTATCCATTCATAATTGTTGATGGACATTTGGGTGATTTCCAGTTTGGGGCTGGAATAAAGCAGCTATGAACACTTGGGTACAAGTCTTTGCATTTTCATTTCTCAACAAGACAACTTTTTGGTAAACCTTTTGCTTCATCCTGAACATCCTTCCCTGGAATAGGGCTCTGGTTACACAGAAGAAACAGGTGTGCTGACTTAGGAGCCAAGACCATCACCCAAGTCAGTCGGGTTTCCGATTTCTGAGTTAGTCTCAGCTGAGTTGTATTTTTGACTACGGAACACGTGCACAAGAAAGTAAATTCAAAGGTACCAAGAGGCATAGACCCAACTTCCACTCCAGTCTCTCAGCCCTACAGGTCCCCTTCCCAGAGGCCACGACTCTTACCAGTTTCTTTTGTAACCTTCTAGAAATGTCTCATGCACATAAAAGCAGATAGGCAGCTCCTCTCCTTTTACATATGCCGCATTCCATGCACAGGGTAGTGTTCCTTGTTTTTCACAATTTTAGAGGTCATTCCATACTAGCACATACAGGGCTGCCTTTGGCTACTAAAAGGTAGGTGTTTCATCTTCAACTAAGCAACTCACCCTAGAACAAGGGTCCCCAACCAGGGAACCAGAGAACAAGGGTTCCCTGTTAGGAACCCGGCGCACAGCAGGAGGTGAGTGGCGGGCGAGCTCCGCCTCCCGTCAGACCAGCAGCAGCATCGTGCTCACAGGAGCGCGAACCCTACTGTGAACCGCGCGTGCGAGGGATCCAGGCTGCGTGTTCCTGTGAGCACCTAATGCCTGATGACCTGAGGGGGAGCCGAGGCGGTGACGCTGGCGCTGGGGAGGGGCCACAAATACAGGTCATCATTAGCAGAGAGGTCTGACTGCACAGAGAACATCATAAATCAATCGCTTGCAGACTCATCAAAACCCTATCAGTGAGTGGCAAGTGAAAACAAGCTCAGGGCTCCCGCTGATTCTGCATTATGGTGAGTTGTATAATTATTTCATTATATATCACCATGTAATGATAATAGAAATAAAGTGCACAATAGATGTAGTGTGCTTGAATCATCCCGAAACCATCCCCTCTCCCCCTTCCGTGGAAAAACTGTCTTCCACAAAACCGGTCCCTGGTGCCAAAAAGGTTGGGGACCACCGCCCTAGAAGGATGTACTTTCATTTAGGTCACGGAAAGGAGATTTTAAAAGGAAGTAAAACTTGTTTTTGAACCACAGCATAGGTAGAGGCAAATAGATAAATTATCTTTATGAAAATAACATTTTGAGCTTCTTAAATTCAGGAAATGAAAAATTTCCTGAATACAGCAAAAATTTCTTCCTAGATACAGCACAAAAAGCACAATCCATAAAAGAACAAATCAATAAATTAAACTTCTTTTGGGAATTCCCTGGCGGTCCAGTGGTTGACACTTGGCGCTTTCATTGCCATGGGCCCGGGATCGATCCCTGGTCAGGGAACTAAGATCCCACAAGCCGTGCGGCACGGCCAAAAAAAATAACCTTTCATAGGCCGTTCAGATTGTGTCAGGTGTCCCGAGTCACTGCAGTGCTGCCTCTGAATAGTTCCCCTAACGATGCACAGAAACGAAAGCGCACCGCTAATGCTTCCATGGCAGCCGCGTGGCAGCTGGGCTGGACAGCAGCTGGGGGGGCACCCAACCCGCCTGCCTTGTGGGTTGAGCACGTGGTGTCCTCTCAGCCGTGACACTGAACGTCTGACCAAAGGTAGAAGATGGAGCTTCTTGCTGGATGTGAAAATGCGTGGTTCTCAAGGCAGGGGTCCCCATACTTTAGGGACGTCAGAATCCCCCGGAGGGCCAGCCGCTGGGCCCCAGCCCATTGTCTCTGATTCAGTAGGTCTGGGCCAAGACCTGCTAATATGCATCTCTAACAGGCTCCAGATAGTGCTGAGGAAGGACACGCAGAGGATACAGAGGCAGAGGGCAATCAGGAAGCTGGGGGACAGAAATGGGGTTTGGAGAGGAACTGTGGCTTCAGAGACTCGCAAGGGTCACTGCGGTCAGGAGTTGCGTCACCATGGGGCCGGTGGTGCAGTGACCCAGGTCTGTGCTGCAGGTTCAGTTCTCAGCCCCTCTCCAGGTCCGACCCTCACCCTGAGGGTGAGCCCTTGGAAGCCTTGCTGACTGACACCCTTGTCTTAACTTGTTTGGAGCTCCTGCCACCTGGTGGCCAGAGAGGGCACTACAATGAGCAGTGGGGACCCCTCAGTCCAAAGGCCCAGGATTCTGGAGGCTGCGATCACTGTGAGGTTCAATCTAAGGAAAGAAATGAGTCTGAATTTCAATTATCAAAACACACGAAGACAGGCATACAGAATAGTTATAATAAATATTTTAAGTTATATTTTCAAATACCAAAGCATAAGTGTTAGTATTTGATTTTTGGAAAAAACACAGCATTTTTTTCCCCTTGTGTTAACATAAATATTTGGCTTATGGAAATAGAACTCACTTAAAATGAACTCTTTTAGGCACTTGGGGATAGAAAGTACAGGAAAATATAATACAACTTTACTGTACTGCTACTTACAAGAGAGCAACCAAAATTATATCTGATTAAACATCCTATTTTCAACTGTCAGAATTACTGACCTAAGAAAAAATACTGTGACCAAATATATCCACATAACATTTTAAATTCCAGTGTATCTTAAATGGGAAAGATTCCACTGATAATAGTTCTTAAGATTTCAAATTCTTTTCAGTCTTTCACTGAGATATTAAAGTTTCAGTAGACAGAACCCAAAGAAAGAACATTCCTTTTAATCACTTTGTCTTTTTTCTTTTTAAATACTCAAGAACTTTCTTGGTGGGCATTTAAGCAAGAAAGAACCAATAACCCAGGAACCTAGCAGTGCACGTAGACTAAAAAAAAGAATGTGCTGATTTGGTGTGAGAAGTTGACATTTAATTTGAAGGTGGCTGTCGATTTCTGGCAGACCTCTCGGTGAACTGCATGAGTTAGCCATGAACTACAGAAGCCACTCAGTGAAAGTTCTTTATTTCAAAAACTGCTGGGTGTGCAGAATTGTCCCAGGAGAGCACTGGGCACAGTGCTTAGAGAATGCATTCTTCTTGCTGTTAAAGGCTTGCTTGTGAGGGTCCTCGGCTGTTGACAGAAAGGTGCCCTGTGAAGAGATTTAAAGGCCACGAATCCCAGTCCAGGTGAGGACGTGGCTTGGGTGTTCGCTCCCCCCAGCTGTTGCGCTGAGGCTCTGCTCCCAGGACTCTGGTCACGGGGCGGGCGGCAGGCCCTGCAGGTGCTGTAGCAGCTGCTCGCAGTGGGTGGGTGAACGATGCTTATGGAGGACGGCCTCCATCTCTCTCACCAGGAGGTCAGGGAAGAGGACACTGCCTGCTTTGAGGGCCTCTGCAAAACAGGAAAACACCTTTATGATGCCAGGAATAAATATTAAGCCAAGCTTAGCTTCATATTAAAGTTAACAACAGCCATAAACAGAGCAGACTGCAGAGCAAGGGAAGTGATCGGGGGTTAGGAGGGCATTGCATAATGATTAAGGGGTCAGTACTCAAGAAGACATAACGATCCTTATCACGTATGAGCCCAGTAACAAAGTGTCAAACAACGTGAGGCAAAACTGATAGCTCCTAGGAGAAATAGATTAATCCACTATTGTGGCTGGAGACTCCCATGCCCCTCTCTCAGAAATGGACAGACCCAGCAGGCAGAAAATCGGTGAGTACACCCAAGCGGACCCCACGAGCACCATCAATCAATCAAATATCTACAGACTACCTCATCCAACAGTAGCAGAGCACACGTTCTTCTCAAGCTCCCATGGAACAGTCACTAGAATAGACCACATTCAGGGCCATAAAACACACCTTCACAAATATAAAAGGACAGAAATCATACAATCTCTGCTCTCAGACAACATGGAATTGAACTGGACATCAGTAACAAAGAGATAATTGGAAAATCCCCAAATATCTGGAGATTAAACAACACATTTGTAAATACCACAACGGTCCAAGAAGAAATCTCAAGAAAAATTAAAAAATATTCTGAACTAAATGAAAATGAAAACACAACTTATCAAAATTTGTGGGATGCAGGGAAAAGCAGCGCTTACAGGGAAACTTATACCACTGAATGCACACATTAAAAAAAAAGATCTAAAATCAATAATCTAAATCACCACCTTAGGAAACTACAAAAAAGAGCAAATTAAATCCAAAGTTAGCAGAAGAAAAGAAGAATCAGAGCATAAATCAGTGAAATCTGAAACAGAAAATCAATAGAAATCATCCACAAAACCAAAAATTGGTTCTCTGAACAACTCTTTGCCCACAACTCTGATAACCTAGGTGAAATGGACCAATTCTCTGAAAGGCATAATCTGCCAAAACTCCCACGAGAATAGACAATCGCAGTGGACCTACATCCGTTAACAGTAGACCTACATCCGCTAACAGTAGACCTACATCCGCTAAAGAAACTGAATCAATAATGAATAACCTCCCCAAACAGAAAGCACCAGCCCCAGTAGGTGAACCAGATGAGTTCAGGGGCGAATTCTGCCAAACCTTTAAGGAAGAAATGAAACCAATTCTCTGCAATCTCTTCCAGAAGACAGAAGCACAGGGAACACGTGCTAACTCATCCTATGAGACCAGCATTACCCCGATACAGACTCAGAAAAAGATGCTACAGGAAAAGAAAACTACAGACCAGTATTTCTCGCAAACATAGATGCAAAAATCCTCAACAAAATATTAGCAAATCAAATCCAACAATGTATAAAAAGCATCACATACCAAGACCAAGTGAGATTTATCCCAGGTATGCAAGGCTGGTTCAACATTTCAAAAATCAATTAATGTAACCCATCACATCAACAAGCTAAAAGAGGCATCACATGATCATATCAATAGATGCAGAAAAGCATTTTGACAAAGTCTAACACCCACTCATGAGTAAAAACATTCTGTAAACTAGGAATAGAGGGTAACTTCCTCAATAATGAATATCTATGAAAAAATCTACAGTTAACTTGACACTTAGGGTAAGAAACTTGAAACTTTCCCACTATAATCAGGAACAAAGCAAGGATGTCCCCTCTCACCACTCTTTTTCAACACCAAACTGGATGTCCTAGCTAATGCGATAAGATAAGAAAAGGAAATGAAAGATAATATACACATTGGCAAGGAAGAAATAAAACTATCTTTGTTTACAGATGACATGAGCGTTTATGTTGAAACTGGGAAGAACTGACAAACTCCTGGAACTAATAAGTGATTATAGCAAGGTTGCAGGATACAAGGTTAACATACAAAAGTCAATCACTTGGACTTCCCTGGTGGCGCAGTGGTTTAAGAATCCACCTGCCAATGAAGGGGACACGGGTTCGAGCCCTGGTCCAGGAAGATCCCACATGCCACGGAGCAACTAAGCACATGTGCCACAACTACTGAGCCTGCACTCTAGAGCCCACATGCCACAACTACTGAAGCCCGCACGCCTTGAGCCTGTGCTCCGCAACAAGAGAAGCCACCGCAATGAGAAGCCCGTGCACACAGCAACGAAGAGTAGCCCCCACTCGCCACAACTAGAGAAAGCCCACGTGCAGCAACGAAGACCCAACACAGCCAAAAATAAAAAAGTCAATCACTTTCCTATACACCAGACATGAATGAGTGCAATCTGAAATTAAAACAATACCATTTACAGTAGTACCTTCCAAAATGAAATACCTTGGTATAAATCTAACAAAATGTATAGAAGATCTATATGAGAAAATTTACAAAACTCTGATGAATGAAATTAAAGAACTAAATAAATGGAAAGATATTTCATGTTCATGGACAGGAAGACTCACTATTATCAAGATATCAGTTTTTCCCAACTTGATCTATATATAGATTCAATGCAATCCCAATTAAAATCCCAGCAAATTATTGTGTGGATATTAACAAACTAACACAATATTGAAGGAGAAGAACAAAGTTGGAGCACTGACACTACCCAACTTCGAGACTTTCTATAAAGCCACAGTAATCAAGACAGTGTGGTACTGGCAAATAGATCAATGGAACAGAACAGAGAGACCAGAAATAGGCCCACATAAATACTGTCAACTGATCTTTGACAAAGAAATAAAGGCGATACAATGGAGCAAAGACAGTCTTTTCACAAATGGTGATAGAACAAATGGACATCCACATCCAAAGAACAAAAAACAAAAAAAAAATCTAGACACAGACCTTACCTCTTTCATGACAATTAACTCAAAATTGATGACAGACATAAATAATAAAACTCCTAGAATATAACATAGGAGAAAACCTAGGTGACCTTTGGGTATGGCAATAATTTTTTAGATAAACACCAAAAGTATAATCCATGAAAAAAATAATTGATAAGCTGGACTTCATTAAAATTAAAAACTTTTGCCACAGATTGAAAGAAAATATTTGCAGAAGATACATCTGATATATATGGAAACACAAAAGACCCCGAATAGCCAAAGCAATCCTGAGAAAGAAAAACGGAGCTGGAGGAATCAGATGCCCTGACTTCAGACTATACTACAAAGCTACAGTAATCAAAACAGTATGGTACTGGCACAAAAACAGAAATATAGATCAATGGAACAGGACAGAAAGCCCAGAGATAAACCCACACACCTATGGTCAACTAATCTATGACAAACGAGGCAAGAATATACAATGGAGAAAAGACAGTCTCTTCAATAAGTGGTGCTGAGAAAACTGGACAGCTGCATGTAAAAAAATGAAATTAGAACACTTCCTAACACCATACACAAAAATAAACTTGAAATGGATAAAAGACCTAAATGTAAGGCCGGACACTATAAAACTCTTAGAGAAAACATAGGCAAAACACTCTTTGACATAAATCACAGCATGATCTTTCTTGATCCACCTCTTAGAATAATGAAAATAAAAACAAAAATAGACAAATGAGACCTAATTAAACTTAAAACTTCTGCACAGCAAAGGAAACCATAAACTAAACGAAAAGACAACCCACAGAGTGGGAGAAAATATTTGCAAATGAAGCGACCGACAAGGGACTAATCTCCAAAATATACAAAGAGCTCATGCAGCTCTATGTCAAAAGAGAAAACAACCCAATCCAAAAATGGGCAGAAGATCTCAACAGACATTTCTCCAAAGAAGACATACAGATGGCTAACAGGCACATGAAAAGATGCTCAACATTGCTAATTATTAGAGAAATGCATATCAAAACTACAGTGAGGTATCACTTCACACCAGTCAGAATGGCCATCATCAAAAAGTCTACAAACAATAAATGTTGGAGAGGGTGTGGGAAAATGGAACCCTCCTACACTGTTGGTGGGAATGTAAATTGGTACAACCATTATGGAGAACAGTATGGAGGTTCCTCAAAAAACTAAAAGTAGAACTACCATATGATCCAGCAACCCCACTCCTAGGCATATATCTGGAAAAAACTCCAATTTGAAAAGATACATGCACCCCAATATTCATAGCAGCACTATTTACAATATTCAGGACATGGAAGCAGCCTAAATGTCCATCGACAGATGAGTGGATAAAGAAGATGTGAGAATATTACTCAGCCATGAAAAAAGAATGAAATAATGCCGTTTGAAGTGACATGGATGGACCTAGAGATCGTCATACTAAGTGAAGTAAGTCAAAGAAAGACAAATATCATGATATTGTTTATATGTGGAATCTAAGAATATTATACAAACGAACTTATTTACAAAACAGAAATAGAATCAGAGATGTAGAAAACAACTATGGTTACCAGCGGGGAAAAGAGGGGAGGGATAAATTGGGAGACTGGGATTGACACATACACACTACCATATATAAAATAGATAACTAATAAGGAACTACTGTATAGCAAAGGGAACTCCACTCAATACTCTGTAATGACCTATATGGGAAAAGAATCTAAAAAAGAGTAGATATACGTATATGTGTAACTGATTCACTTTGCTGTACAGCAGAAACTAACACAACATTGTAAATCAACTCTACTCCAATAAAAATTTAAAAAATAAAAAAATTAAAGGGAAACAAAAAAATTAACAATAAAGTCTTAAGAAAGACATATCTGATAAAGGACTATTATCTATAATATACAAATCTTAAAACTCAACAATATGAAAACAAACAACCCAATTAAAAAATGGACCAGGGACTTCGCTGGTGGCGCAGTGGTTAAGAATCTGCCTGCCAATGCAGGGGACACGGGTTCGATCCGTGATCTGGGAAGATCCCACATGCCGCGGAGCAACTAAGGCCGCATGCCTAGAGGCCTGTTCCACAACAAGAGAAGCCACCACAATGAGAAGCCCGCGCACCACAACGAAGAGTAGCCCCCAAACGCAGCCAAAAAAAAGGGGGGGGGCAAAGACCTTAACAGACACCTCATCAAAGAAGATATACAGATGTAAAATAAGCCTATACAAAGATACTTCACATGGTATGTCACCAGAGAAATGCAAATTAAAATGAGATATCACTACACACCTATCAGAATGGCCAGAATCAGAACACCTCATGCTGGCAGAATGGGGAACGACAGGACTCTCATCATTGCTGGTGGGAATGCAAAATAGTGTGGCCACTTTGGAAGACAGTTCGGTGATTTCTTACAAAAATAAATATACTCTTACGATATGATCCAGCAATCACATTCCTTGGTATTTACCCAAAGGAGCTGAAAACTTACGTTGGCAGAAAACCTGCACACAGATGTTTAGAGAAGCTTTATTCATAATCGCCAAAATTTGGAAGCAACCAAGATGCCCCTCAGTAGGTGAATGTATAAATAAACTGGTTCATTCAGACAATGGAATATTAGTGCTAAAAAAAAAAAAAAAAAGAGCTCTCAAGCCATGAGAAAACATGGAGGAATCTCAAATGCTCATTACTAAGTGAAAGAAGCAATTTGAAAAGGCTACAGACTGTACGATTTCAAGTACGTGATGTTCTGGAAAAGGCAAAACTATGGAGACAATGAAAGATCAGTGGTCGCTAAAGTTGGGAGGGCGGACAGATGGACAGACGGACAGGTGGAGCACAGAGGAGTTTTAGGGCAGTGAAACTATTCTGTATGAGACTATGAATGCAACGATGGATACATGTCATTATTGGGAGGGCTGGGAGACGGACAGACGGACAGGTGGAGCACAGAGGAGTGTTAGGGCAGTGAAACTATTCTGTATGAGAATATGAATGCAACGATGGATACACGTCATTACATGCTTGTCCAAACCACACAATGTACGGCGCCCAGAGTGACCCCTAACGTAAACCATGGACTTGGGGTGACTGTGGCGTGTCTGTGGGGCTTACTGACTGGACCAGATGCAGCACCCGGGGGGGCTGCTGATCACGGGGGAGGCTGTGCATGGTGGGGCGCAGGTGTGAGGGAGTCTGTGTACCCGCTGCTCACCGTCTGTATGAACCGTGAGGTCTGTATGAACGGGGAGGGCGACAGCTGGCCAGGAACCCCAGTCGGGCACGCGTGCCGACCCCTGGTGCAAAGCCAAGGCAGACAACCCGTCTGCTCTCAGCTGTTGCCGTCGTAAGCAGTCCCCATTGGTCTCGAATTCGGTTTGTCTCCGCTCCACGGAGAGCAGCGACGCGGTGCCCTCCCTCAAAGCACAACGGGGCGCCGGAACCTGCGGGTGGCCTGGGCAGGGGCTCTCAAAGGGCGCCCCAGGGTTTTGGGGGCCCTGAGACCCTTCAGAGGGTGTGAGTCAGAACTCTGTCCACGGTGAGAACCTGCGGGTGGCCTGGGCAGGGGCTCTCAAAGGGCGCCCCAGGGTTTTGGGGGCCCTGAGACCCTTCAGAGGGTGTGAGTCAGAACTCTGTCCACGGTGACGCGAAGGGCACGACCCCCGGCTCACGGGGCGCCCTCCGCACTGAGGGCTGAACCTGCGGGTGGCCTGGGCAGGGGCTCTCAAAGGGCGCCCCAGGGTTTTGGGGGCCCTGAGACCCTTCAGAGGGTGTGAGTCAGAACTCTGTCCACGGTGACGCGAAGGGCACGACCCCCGGCTCACGGGGCGCCCTCCGCACTGAGGGCTCAAGGCCAGGGCGGCTCGAGCGCTGGCCGGGCTCTGGGGAGTGAGTCACTGCAGGAGTCAGTTAATGTCCTCAGAGGAGCATAAAAATCATCTACTTTATGAAATCTCAACCCCTGAGCACCCAACTTTTAGTAAACTCATTCCGATGAAGTCTGGATTTTCTAGGGACTGACAGCGCCTGCCCTCCACCGAGCGCCCAGCGCGGGTGGTCACAGATCACGCCGTGGCTGGATCTGCTCTCTGTCTGCTTCCTGGTCGTCCCTCCTCTGCGTCCTTCTCGTTCTCCTTTCTTGACTTCTTTTGCGTTATCTGAACAGTTTTTAGAACCCCACTCTAAACTGAAGTCTGTTTATGGCCATCTCAGCCATGTGGCTTCGCTCACACGTCGGTGGTGGTTCAGGGGATACGACACGTGTCCTTCCTTTTTAGCTTTTCAGCACCCTGGGATGGAACGGGAGGCGCACGCGTGTGCAGTGGGGCTGAGGGCTGGGCAGCTCCCAGACACCACTTTTTACTTGAAAGAATGACCAGTGACAACTGACTCTTGTTCTTCTGACTTGGGGACTCAACAGGATGCCTTCTTGTAAGCGAATGAAGCGACAGTGTTTGTGGCTGATGATAAAATTGAAGGTCTCAAGCAGTAATAAGAATTATAGAAACTTGTTTCTGCCACCAAAAGCCTGACAGCCTCCTGAAGCTGTTCTTCCCAAGACTTTTCTGAGCTTGACGTCAACAGTGACTTTTTGACACTGAGAACAGAGCGCGTCCACGTTAATGAGCACGCGGGGCGGATAGACGGACTTGAGCGGAACGGGTGTGGTTCCACAGTGGCTCCAGAGTCTACACTCCAAGGAACCTTGAGGAGACTACCACCTGTCCAGTCAGGGTGCGGTAAGGAAGAGGACTGCTATCAAGATACTCCTCTCTTCCAACTACATCTGTGTGGGCCGTTTGTTTTTCACATACTTTAACCAAACGACACGCATCATAACCGACGCAACGCAGAGATGTGCGTCTGGTTGTCTTCTATCAGCTCGACGTTAGAGAGATTCACAAAAATGTAAAATAATGCCACTGTTCTTGTTATTTTGTTTTACAAAACGCATCTTTCAAAACCACGTTATTTATGTTAAAATGTAATGGGTTGTTATTTTAAAGAAATTAATCAGTACCTTAACATTTTCTCAAGTTTTAACTTCTACCACGGTGAACACCAGGGGCCGTAACCCACAGGACACAAGCTCATTGGGACCTGCAGTAACTCGGAGGACACGGGTTGCAAGACTGCGGGCCCAAGGGAGTCCAGGCGCCCGGCCAGCTGCTCCCATGCGGCTGGCCCGAGTATGGGGATGAAGCTCTTACCGAGAACTGCGTCCTGGATGGCGCTCTCAGGGTCGTCGAGGTACACGAGCAGCTCCCTGTACAGGTGCTGAATGTTGCTCTGGTAATAGCACTTGCCGGCCTCGTTCCCGACACGCTCCAACCAGGTGACCAAGGAGGTGGTGGCCGCCAGCCTCACCTCGTTGGAAACGTCATCCAGGCGTTTTAAGAGTTCTGCAAGGAGGGACCAGACAGGAGTGTGAGGAGAGGTTCCAGGACAGGCGGCTCCCAGCTAAGCTCTCAGCACTTGTGGAGCACCGGCCCCTGGCCTGGGAAACCCACAGGCGGGTGCTGGGGAGGGGCTGGTGGTAGCGGGTGTCCCGGGACCCTCGGCCACTCTGGCCCAGGGGTGGACTCCGTGGACACGGACTGAAGGTGTGCTTCACAACCAGCGTGGGCGTCTTCGCCCTCTGACCTGCAAGGCGGCTGGGGTCCCCCCGGCTCTGAGATGCTCAGACTCAGAGTCACACACAGGCCTCACGCCCCATCCTCCCCAAGGAGCAGACGGCACAGGAAGGGCGTCTGCTGACCCCGCTTTCTGCCCACCGTGGCTCTGGGGACAGAGCTGAGGGCCCGGTGACACGACGGCCACCAGCTACATCAGCTGTGTTTCTGCTGAGCCTCTGGGACCAGATGTCCCACTGCTGAAAGTGGACTAACAGTCCTTCCTGACCCGCAAAAACGCTTCCTGTGAACGGGTGAGACTTCTATCAATGCGTGTTCTTCTCACAGATCTACACGACGCGCCTGCGGGCCTCTCACTGCCGTGGCCTCTCCCGTTGCGGAGCACAGGCTCCGGACGCGCAGGCCCAGCGGCCATGGCTCACGGGCCCAGCCACTCCACGGCATGTAGGATCTTCCTGGACCAGGGCACGAACCCGCGTCCCCTGCATCGGCAGGTGGACTCTCAACCACTGCGCCACCAGGGAAGCCCCAAACGTTTATTCTTACACATGCAATAGGTTCTAAGATAACACTTCATTCTAGCTGTAGGCGGCAACAGATGTTACGGCAGGGAATCCAGATATTCACACAGGAGGGGCTAAGGGTCGCCACTGTCTCAGGTGTGAGGAACCGCTTTTTGCCACATTTGTTAATCCCGCCTGTGGGCAGGGCCCTTCCCGAGGCCTCCCCTCTCAGCTCCTCCAGTTTCTTCGGCTCCTGTTTCTGCCGGCAAGCCTGGTCTTCCTCGTCCGCCTCCTGGGCTGCTTCAGGGGCTGCTTCTTGCCACCCTTGGGGCCAGACGTGGCCCCTGCCGCAAGAAGTGCTCAACTCGTTTGGAACGGCTGTTACCCTTGCAGATTTCCGCGATCCCAACTACACGTGGAGAAGATGGCACTGAGGGCCTGTACCTTCCACCTCGACCCCCCCGCCCCGGTGTGGGCACACCCACCAGCCCCTGAGCTTCTCGGCTGCAGGCCCACCTCCAGCGACGCTGCTCCGCTCGGGGCCATGTTTCACTCCTGTGGCCCGGACTCATCGGTGCTCTCAGGCTCCAAGAGGCAGTGACATGGGGGATGCGAGGCAGGGCTGCAGCCCTCACACCGAAGGCCACGGGGTGGTACCCCGGCCGCCATGGGCGTCTATGCTCCCACCCACCCCGCAATTCCAGTCCACAAGACGTCTGTCCTGTTTCTCGTGCTACGTTACTTATTCAGTGACATTCAGTGACGTCATACCTGTCACATCCACGTTTAGACGCATAGCACCAACCTGACCAGAAGTCAAAGTAGCATTTTCTATTTTTCCTACCAAAGAAACAACTGTCAAGCAAACAGAGGCATATGACTGGAAAAGAAGAATGTCCTACCAGGATAAATCTTGATGAATTTGTCTGGATCTATCACACCATCAGAGGTCTTTAAAAATACGTTAATGATTCGGCATGAAATTAATCGAGTCATCTGAGAATCTTCTTCCAGGGTGGTTAGAATTTGAGGCATCAACATTTCCTGCACTTCCTGTATCTGCAATAAAAAAAACCACACAAGCTGTGGGTCACGGCTGGTGCCACCCTGGTGACAGAGATTGCTACTCACACACTGTGTACTTTGCCCGTCACTGAAGAGACTTGGTTTTGATGCAAGTATGATTGAGTCTGGAAAGCTACTTTGAAATTTCTATGTAAGAAGCAGACCAGAATCTTGATTTTAAAATCCAGATAATTTGAACATCTGTCAGTTGGTTTTTAAAAAATCTGTTATTCAGAAAGTCTTAGGCACCGATCCTACACAGCCCACTATTTACTAGCAGGACTGGGTATCGTGTCCAGTAAAGTTTGGGGGGCATTTCAACTTAAGTAACAGCTGTTCAGGTACGACAATGTTTTCCCTACTTCTACTGTTTCCTCAATTCCTCATCTATCTGGAAATATGAATACAAACAACGCTCTTTGAGTCAGACTCCTGTGATGAAATTCTTTTCTTGTAAACAGTAACAATCACTTAAGAAATCCCCCAGGTGACCCAAGGAAACAACGGGCTTTCCCCCCAGACCTCTGCTCGCCCTCCGGCCCCATAGTCCCGTCCCCTCGGTCTGTCTGGGAGCATCTGCTGCCGCTATCAGGACAGGAGACTCAAGTGAGCGCTCTTCACCTGCGGCAGGTGTGCCAGGCAGGCCCCGGAAGCCCAGGGCACAGCCTGTTCCCCTCTTGGGTCCAGGATGCACGAGCCCTACCTGCTCATCTGACAGGACCCCGCTGCTGACAAGCGCCCAGAGGCAGGACACGGCCGCTGTACGGATGGCTGCAGCCGTCCTCCCCGCGTGCCACTGCAGATTGGGGACGAAGATGTCCTTGATCAGGGTGTCCAGGTAGCCATGGAACTGTCTGGAGCGGAAGCAGGAGACAGTGGGTGAGAGGGGCACCCAGACTCCCCGAAGGAAGCGCTTCCATTTGGGAAACGGACTGGGCGGAGGGAAAAGGCCAAACAGACAAAACGAGCGGAAATCGAACACTGGACGTTGAACGAGAGCCCCCGCTCCCCGGGGTAGTGGCCAGGGAGGGGACGTGGGGCTCTCTCCCACAGCTATCACGGGGCAGGGCTGCACTCGGGCTCCTGCCGCCTCTCCTGGGACTGGACCCTGGGGCTGGGGGTGTATTCCAGCCTCCCTCCCACTCTGTGGCCGAGGGGCTTCCCCAACACCCCTCCTGGATCTAAGAAAAGGGTGGCCGCGCTACCCCAAGCACCGATGGGGCGGCAAGTCACTCCCACAGGCGGCGACCTTACAGAGACGGGCCTCAAGGTCCCTGCAACCACGTGAGGTCCCTCTGACCACGCCCGCTACCTTGGCAAAAGGGCACCCTGGGGCTGCACGTACGGTCCCATGTGTCAAGACACGGATGTTCCCGCCAACATAGTCGGGGACCTTCCTCTCGACACGCCGTCAGGACAAACACAAAGCAAAACAAAATCCCAGCCCTGAGCTCCGCTGGCTGGCCTGGCCACCCGGCAGCGGAGCCACACGTGAGGCCCCATCCAAAAGCCCGGGGAAAAGCCTCAGCCCTCCGTATGACTCCTGTACCCCACGGGCCTCTGCTGATGGAGCAAGACGTATTCTGCTGAACAAAGGACTCAATTGACTTGCTTCCCAGGGTCATTCCGGAGCACGCTTCACAGGGGGGTCCCGCCTCCAGCACCAGCTGCTTCGGGACCTGGACCAGCGTGAGGGCCTGTGAGCCCACGGCTGCGCCGTGCCCCCAGCAGGGGGCACTCCTGAGCCACCTGCGCTTCCGACAGTGGACCTGGTGCAGGGCGACTCACACACATTCAAGGTTTTCTACGTGCTTTAGTTTTTTAGCAAGGAGCTGCTGTTCCCTGCAAAGGGATTCACCAGGGGACTCTGGAAAGCTCAGCCCCGTGTCCTGGCTGAGGCGGCCCAGGCGATGTGGCCACGAGGGCCTGAGGGCCGAGTGCTGGCCGTGAGGAGGGACAGGCAGGCAGTAGGACTCCAGTGATATGGTGGGAGCAGAAAAGGCACTGGACTCCCCAAGAATGAGTACCCTGCTTCCAGAGGACGCACACCTGTTCAAACGCAGCTGGGCCCCGAGACCAGGAAGCCCAGCCCGGTCAGGCCCACGGGCTCCTCCAGAGCCACCAGCATCCAGGCCTTGCCCTGCGGGAGAAGCTCCGTAACATCCCGCACGAGGGAACGGCACTGGGTGGTGTCTGGGCGCCCAGACAGGGGAGCAGGCCTCCTTCACTGGGGGATCGCACTCCAGCCAGGGTGCCCCTGCCCCCGCCATCCTCTGGCTGGGAGCCCTGCACCACCGGGTGTGCCTGTGCCAGAGGCGCTTTCGGGGGTGGGGTGGGGTGAGGGGGGGCCGCATTCCTTTGCTATCTCAGACTCTGCACTCTGTAACCCTGAGGTTCAAAACCAAGCAGGTGTTGCTTTCCAAAATCTTTCCTGCCTGTAAAAACAGTTAATCCTTGCACTAGACAATTGTAAACTGAACAACTTTCTTCTCCTGATAGCGGTTTCTTTCCACAAGAAGCCTTCAAGGGCAGCTTCTTGAGGGAACTCGGTTCAAGAGCGGGGGCTTCGTTCCCGGGGGTTGGCTGTCCTCAGGGGGACGCAGCGGAGCAGGGCCCCAAGGGGTAGTGACTGATCTGCCGGCTCTCTCCTCACGGGGCAGCTGCCAGACCCAACTCAGTAACCTTTTTATAGTCTATTCTAACCCTTGAAGTCTTTGCAGACAAGCAGGAAATAAAATTTCCTGCAATACAATGGGCTGGCTAGAGGCCCAAGAGCAGAGATCAGAGTAACACCCAGAGAAGTGAAGTCTGAATAATGACCCATTATTTCCCTAGGAAAGTCCAGGACAGGCCGACGACAAAGATTTGCTCCCTCTCAGGGGATGGGTCCCCAAAGAGCAAACAGCATCTCACTGCCTGAAGCCCCACAGCCCATCCTGCCAGGACGCTGTGTCGCTTTGCAAAGGGAGAGGGCGGGGCCTGCAGATGGCTCTGCTCTGGGCCGCCTCACGGCCAGTCTGGGCCGCCCGCCTCCTTCCCTTCGGAGCCCCGCGCTGGAGGCCCGGGTGTTTATGCTGCCTCAAGTCCCTCCGGAGGAGAGGAGTTTCCTAAGTTCTAACCTTAACGGTCATTCAATCAATTCTCTGTGAGGCCTGAAAGGTACCAGGAGCCTTTTAAAGCTGAGAACAGCTAATGTATAAACAATTAGTAGTTAATGTTCCCTAAAACTTTTTCATTCAACGGAATTTTAAGGACCACAAGAATGCGACTGATTTAGTGTCTCTCTATGCGGTGCACTCGCTGCGGGGACTACGCCGTTTCCCTGGGGCGCTGGCTGTGTGGGGAGTCACACGACAGCAGGACCCAGAGCTCAGGGTCACCCCAGGTCCCACCTGAGACCTCAGTGCGGGGGCACGTGGGGACCACTCAGCCGCAGCACAGCATGGGGGGCAGCATGGGGGGACTGCGTGGGGGGCAGAATGGGGGGACCGCGTGGGGGGCAGCATGGCAGACCACGTGTGGGTGGAGCCGACCTACCCCTGCGAGTCCACCGTCTCCCAGGCTCCCAGCAGCAGCCCCGACAGGGTGGAGAAGAGCTTCAGGCGCATGGGTGGGTCCCGGGCTGGCTGGAGGCAGCTCCTGAGGATGGGGACCAGTTGGGGCAAGGCTTCTCCGAGGGCAGGGCCTAGAGCACAGACAGGGGCCTCATTCCTACGTGGCAGGAGGATGGGAGGACGGAGCCCCGCAGCCGCTCTGGCCGCGAGCGGAGGTGCATGCTGGGCACGGCCAGCGGACATGCACCCTCAGCCCCGGGAAGGATGCTCTCAGCACAGGACGCCAGGTTCCGCCTCTCCCTTTGACCCTCCCCCCACCATGGCTCTAACTGTTCGGTATGTAAGCTTTCTTTTTTTCCCTACATCTTACCAAATTCTTTAAAAAATTTAAAGTCAAGCAAACTTTTTTTTTTAATTTATTTTTAAAATTTATTTATTTTTGGCTGTGTTGGGTCTTTGTTGCGGTGCATGTGTTTCTCATTGTGGTGGCTCCTCTTGTTGTGGAGCACGGGCTCTAGGCGCGTGGGCTTCAGTAGTTGTGGCACGTGGGCTCAGTAGTTGTGGCTCGCGAGCACAGGCTTACTAGCTGTGACGCACGGGCTTAGTTGCCCCGCGGCACGTGGGATGTTCCTGGACCAGGGCTTGAACCTGTATCCCCTGCATTGGTAGGCAGATTCTTAACCACTGCGCCACCAGGGAAGTCCCCAAGCAATCTTTTAAAGGCCAACCAAAACCCAACATTCAGACCATGTAGGCTGCTTGATGTCTGACCCTGAGCCTGGCAGCCAGCATCCTTTCCCATGCCTGTTACTAGATGAACAAATTGTGCCACTGTCCCCGAGCCTGGAAAGATCCCAGATGCAGTGACGGTGCTCAGGACCCGGACCTGCACGTGATGGGGAGAACACAGTCTCCGGGGTCTAGACGTGAGCCGCAGCTCAGAAGAATCGGGTCACCAGTTGCCCTCCCCGCCAGGCCCTGTGCTGACCCGGGACATCATGTGTCAGAAGTGAAGCCGTCACCCTCAGGCCCTCTGGTTTACTCCCGGTCTGCTACTTCTGTACTCAGTCAGGACTTCAGTCTTTTCAGAGGCATCACCTCAAAGCCCAGGGTCAAAGCAAAACAAGCGTGACTGGAGGGTCCACTGTAGCCCGAAGCTCTGCTGCTGCCAGGGTGCACTGTGGCCAGGAGCATGGCGTGCAAGGCCACGAGCTCGGAGTCCCGCTGCCCTGCCGGTCCTACCCTAACCCCCGGGGCGGGAGGCCAAGCGGGCACAGAGGGTAGGCAGCACCTGGGGGAAGAGCACGGGGACGCCACTGAAGAGCACGGGCACGCCACTGAAGAGCACGGGCCACACAGGACGCCACGCAAAGTCACGCTTTCAAGGTTTAACATAGGGACTTCCCTGGTTGCCCAGTGGTTAAGAATCTGCCTTCCCGGGCTTCCCTGGTGGCACAGTGGTTGAGAGTCCGCCTGCCGATGCAGGGCACGTGGGTTCGTGCCCCGGTCCAGGAAGATCCCACATGCCGTGGAGCGGCTGGGCCCGTGAGCCATGGCCGCTGAGCCTGCGCGTCTGGAGCCTGTGCTCCGCAACGGGAGAGGCCACAACAGTGAGAGGCCCGCGTACCGCAAAAATAACCCAAAAAACAAAAAACAATCTGCCTTCCCATGCAGAGGACGCAGGTTCAATCCCTGGTCCAGGAATGAACATGCTGCAGGGCAACTAAGGTCACGCGCCACAACTACTGAGCTCACATGCTCTGCAGCCCATATGCCGCAACTACTGAGCCCATGCACCACAACTAGACAGAAGCCCATGTGCCACAACGAGAGAAGCCTGTGTGCTGCAATGAAGAGCCCACGTGCTGCAACGAAAGATTCCGCGTGCCGCAACTAAGACCCGACACAGCCAAATAAATAAATAAACAAAATTAAAAACGTACATTGGTCCTATGTCACACTCTTGAACTAATTATTCCCCCCCCCAAAAAAAAAAGGTTTAACATAAAAATGTGTGCCTGGGCAGACTTTAAAGACCCACGTTACAGCAAGTCTTCACTACAGAGTTCGCAGCATCTTTTAAATTAAGGTTTTGTTCCTTAAAACAGCTGTTCTCCGCAGGCTGAGGGTGACCGTGAGTGACTCTGAAGAACCAGGCCTTGGCGTGCCACCTCCTGGGTGGTGCTGAGCAGCTGTGCCCGTCTGTGCCGGGGCTGCTGGGGCCACCACGGGACCAGCGCTCCGAACCCCACCCGGGGCGCCCGTCTGAGGCTCACCTGAGTGAGCAAGCACCACGTCAAACTGCAGGAACCCCGTGGAGTGGCCGGTCCAGTCCCGGTGCGAGGCAGCCAGCCGCTCCAGAAGGGCGCCCACGTGCGCTCGGAAGAGGTCCTGGCTGCCGTCCACGCTCTCCACCGCAGCCAGCTCGGCCAGCGCCTCCTGAACCTGGGGGAGCAAGTGACAGGCTGGGACAATGCGATCTTGGGACTCACAGACCCCACTGGAGACCCGTCCTCACCACCTGAGGGAGGGAGAGCCACTCGGGCACACGCCACGTGGCCCGGGGCTCCCGCGATGCCCCTCCTGTCTGTATGAGAAATAACGAAATGGACAAACAATGGGCAGGCAGTTCAGGCACAGTCCCCCCACCCCCCATGAGGCACCACCCAGGGCAGGGCAGTCCCTGCAGGGTGGGAGGCTCACCCTGGAGTCCCAGCCAGGCTCCATCTATGGAGAAGGGGGAGCAGGCAGTTTCAGGGCCGGCACTGAACAGACTTAAACCACGGGTTCCAAAGATGGGCCCACGTCCTCGCTCTCAGAGTGCTTCACCTGACCAGACCTCCGGGGACAGCGTGTCTGCTGCTCTGCGGGCACAGAGGAGACGGAGGACCGGACCCTCCTCCCCCAGGGCTGTAGGAACAGGACGCCCCCAGCATGCTGTGCGGCTGTCCCGGGGCCCCAGTCTGGCCTGCAGACTCGCCCGTAATGACAGACTCGGCTTTTCTAGTATTTACAGCCCTACAGTGATGACCTCCCTGATGGGACACGTGCCCTCCGGAAAGGGGGTTTTGTAAGAGAGAAAGAAAACACAGTTTACGAAGGCCCCGGGGAAGGGGAGGGCAGGCGGGGAGCCTCCCGGACACAGTGTGGATGGAGAGGGGGAGACAGAACCAGGGGGAGAAGCCGGGTTCTCGGCTTGGGGAGAAGCGGTCAGACAGCCGGGTCTCTGGATGGTCCTCGCAGCCGCAGGGAGCTGGATGTCAGAAGATTTTAAGTTAAATACAGAGCCCGGGGCGGGGGCCACCTCCCCGGAGGTCCAGTGGTTAAGACTCCGTGTTTCCAACGCCGGGGATGCAGGTTCGATCCCTGTTTGGTGAACTAAGATTCCACATGCTGCGCGGCACGGCCAAAACAATAAAGAAGCAAGGAAGTTCAATGGAGAAAAGAATTTGAAAAAAAAATACAGAGCCAGGGGAATGGAAACAATTGTGTAAAGCTGGGCTGCAACCAAATAGGACAATCATGATATTATTTTCTCTCCTGACCTCCGGTGCACATGTGTATTCTTAACCTCACTCAAATGCAGATTTAAGACGAGGGAGGCCTCGTTTCTTGCCTGTTTCTCCAAGATTAAGCAGCCTGCCTCACTCTGAGATCCTGAAGCCAATGGGCAGTTGGAGGGAATTTAAAATCCCGTGTGTCCCTGAGGCCGCCTAGAGAACGAATCACCCCGCATGTTCTAGACTCTTTCATCTTAGGTAGCCAGTTCGCTGGGCAAGCCCGAGGCTTGGAGTTTGACAGCAGAGACTGACAGATGGCAGCCTCCCGTCCAGGGGCTGAGGCAAGGCAGGAGGGCCCCCTCACCTTGGCACCAAGGCCCGCGGGTCCCCACAGCGCCAAGACAGTCACCAGCACCTCCATGAGCGGCACGCCGGCCCCTCGGCAGTCCTCCCGGCTCACGGACACCACGGCCTGCACGCACTGCAGCAGGCGCTCCCCGTACAGGCGCTGTGGAGAGAGCAGGGCACCATCAGCCACCCCTGCACCCGCTCGGCGGCCCAGACGAGGCCCCACCGACCAGGGCCATGGAGCCACGGCGACCCCACGAGTGGACTGGGCCAGGATTCTGGCACATCAGCCATAAAGAGGGTGTCCCTCTGCACAACAGGGAAACCGAATCCCTGTTGAATCCCTGAGAATCGAGGAATTCACGGCAACTCTGTTAAGTGCTTAATGGTATTTGAGTTACATTTTTAAAAAGTTTGCATGTGTTAGTGACACACACTGTAATAGTGACAAGTGGAAGGACAGGGAATCTGGATTTGCTCTCAGTACCCCAGCTCTTCCCACCCCACCCCCAAAGTCAGAGAGAAGCTGGACCGAGGGGGATGTGGCTGGAACCGGGCGGCAGGCACGAGGGGTGCACACTGCTCCCCTCCCCTTCTGTGCACTTCTGAGTGTTTCTATAATACTAAGTTAAGAAAAATAAAATTCTGTGATTCAAAGATGCTTCCAGACTGCCGGGGGTCAAGGTGACACCTCGGTTGGGTCGAGCCCTTCTCTCACCTCCCAGGCTCCAGCCTCATCCACTGTGAAATGGGGGCCAGGAGTGAGCATGGGGTGGGGGCCCCAGAGGAAGAACTGCCTAGAACACCCCTCCCACACGCCTGCTCTGCTATGTTTCATAAAGGACAGAGGGAACCAGGGCAAGATGCTTAAGGTTTTTTTTTTTTTTTACTAATGGGGGTGTGAGCTCAAAAGTTTGGTGAAGATTTGGCTAGACAATGGGTTGGTTCTAAATTCTGAATCAGCTCTAAAATCCTAAGACTCGTTCACAAGTGATATAAATCATAGAAGTTTAAACAAAAAATTCACTGTGGCATGTCCCCAGCCACTCAGGGGTCCTAACTCCCCCGAGAAGCCAAAATTGGTGTTTTATTCAAACACTTACTTTTCCCACAGCCCCATTTCTTTCAGACCTGGATTGACTGATTGATTTTTTTGAGGGCATGATTTTGGCTAATTTCTAAATGACCTACAATACATATTTAAGGAGCTACCATTCTTTCAATTAAAATAAACAGGGATTGGGACTTCCCTGGTGGTGCAGTGGTTAAGAATCCACCTGCCAGTGCAGGGTACACGGGTTCGAGCCCTGGTCTGGGAAGATCCCATGTGCTGAGGAACAACTAACCCTGTGCGCCACAACTACTGAGCCTGCGCTCTAGAGCCCGTGAGCCACAACTACTGAGCCCGTGTGCCACAACTACTGAAGCCCACGCGCCACAACTACTGAAGCCCACGCGCCACAACTACTGAAGCCCACACACCTAGAACCCGTGCTCCGCAACAAGAGAAGCCACTGCAATGAGAAGCCCGCATACCGCAACGAAGAGTAGCCCCTACTCGCTGCCTGTGCACAGCAATGAAGATGCAACGCAGACAACAATAAATTTTAAAAATTAAAAAAAATAAAATAAACAGGGAGTTGCTCTCAGCATTGGCTGAGCCATCTCACGACACCTCCAGATGCTGGAACTAACCAAAGGTCTGTGTCCTTCACAAGCATTGCCCTCCTGCTGTGAACACGGCACCACCTCTGAGGAAACGGGGCCTTAATGTTCACGGATTTCACGATATTTAACCAGAGGATTTTCAACACCTACCTACCTACCTACCTACCTACCTACACACACACACACACAGAAAAAGAAAACAAGACACAGAGGGAACTGACACAGAGGGAGATGCCACAACTTCACCGGGGAAAGCGCCAGGCACTCCCATCCCAGACCCCACACCCGATTCCTGAGTAAACAGGAGGAAACGAGTTACTTCTGTTTTATCAACCGTTTCTTCATCTCAGTCCCCAGATTTCAAAGCAGAGGCTCAGGTCCTGTCAGCTGAGCCCAGGCCCAGGCAGATGAGCAGAACGTCTCTGGGGCCCTGTTGGCTCAAGCCGGGGCTTTACATTTAGTTTGGTCTTGAAGCATTTGAGGTCTGTCCTCACAGTCCCTGGAAAACGACTGTAGGAAACACTAGGACGACCCCTCCCTGTGCGGAAGCCGTGCATTCTGGCCACAGGCGTGCGAGGATGGGAGTGGGTCGCACGACTGGGGTTCACACCGGCTGGTCCCTTGGCCAAAGGCTGGAACGTGTCTAGAGACACGTGTGTGGATGGAACTGTCAGGAAGGGGCCCCTCTGTTTGCAGGACCGAGTAAATCTTTCCTGGAAGGACTGGAGGAAGAGGAACCAAGTGTGTGCTCTGAACTAGATGGATCGAGGGACCAAGGTTTCCTGTAACAACACTCAGGTGTGAAAAGACGTTTCCTTTGCTGTACAGCTTGCAACACGTGTACTGAAACACCTACACAAACTTTCAAGCTGCACCTTCTAGAACAGAAATGCTTCTGGAATGAAAATCCTTGTTGGAACCAGTTGAGTAAAAATGTGGAACTTTTTTCCACATTTTTAGATAATCATAGTTTATCTTAAAAATGGGTTTTGGGAAAAGTTGAAATATGGTTGAAAACACCAGGAGCAGGTGAAAAAGCCCACGAACGTCCCCCCCTCCAAGACCTCTGTTCCATCCCCCCCATCTGGGTTTCAGAAGCTGCCTTACAGGCTTAGTAAGATGGTTCCCACACGACTGTGAACGTATGTCAGAGTTAAGGCCAGATGCAGGTGTGGAAGTGCATCTCCCGGCAGCTGAGCGGTAGCTGGGCACCCCTGTGGTCCAGCTCTGTGGCCATGGCAGCCACTGTCAAGTGTCAGCTGTGCGGGGCCAGCTTCCCATGGCCCAGGGGGCCTGCAGTGCATGGGTCAGATGCCTGGCGAGGCAAACTCTCGTTGCTCTACAGAGAGATGGGAGGGTGACTGGCCAATGCAAAGACTCAGGGTTTAAGCCCATCACAGCCACACGAAAACAAGGTCGTTATTTTTCCTTCAACAGCAAACAATTGTAAATTATTCCAAATGACTAAGCCTAACTACCTACATTGTTTCAGCTTCAGATGTAATGGATTTACTGCTCAATTTAAGACAAAACAAATCTGTAACCACCAAGCAGAACTCCCAATAACGGTTGCCAGGTCAGGTTGCCTGTTGGAAGCCCCGTTAGAAGCCAAGTGACCGGGGTAAGAATAAGCTCGCCATGGAGACACCGTGTGCGACATGGACCAAGAGACGGGGCGTGGACTCACAGGTTCTCTGGGGGTGGGTGGGGTGGGGGTCTCCAGCTGAGACCACCCACAGCAGCGCCACCCGTAGAGCAGAACTGCCCTCGACGACGGATGCGCTCTGACACCGCCCAGTGCTGGCCACACGGGCTACTGGGCGCTCGACATGTGGCCAGCGTGACTGAGGAACTGCCTTTGTTTGCACTTTGTTTCATTTTACTTTAAACGGCCGCCATGGTGGATGGAGAAGAACGGGCCAGGAGGCACGTGGGTCCAAGCAGGAGGACATCAGGGCTGCATCCCAGCTACCATGCCGGTCAGATGTCCCCGAGAGGCCTGTGGGACTGACAACTGCTATGTGTAGATGGTCCCACGGGGGACCGAGTCACCATGGAGATGGGTGGACTCTACGATCCCCCCAGCCCCACCCTCTCCCGCGCATGCTTACATTTTCAGACCCTTGGCAGATGTGAGCGTGGGCCAGCTCCACGGCGATGACCTTCACGTGCGGCCGGAGGGCCTCCCTCGGGCAGCCTCGGATGACAGAGGCAAAGACCAGGAGGCCGGAGGGGGAGGGAGACTTCCTCAGCATTGACAAGATCAACTTCAGAAACACCTCCGGGCTGACGAAGGTCCCGATCAGCTCTGCAGATCTCGTGCACTGAGGGCAGACGGAGGAGGCCTGAGGCTGCCGCCCCTCTCAGCCCCTCCCTGCTCTGCGTCTGCCGTGCCCGCTTCCACCTGCCAGAAGCAGCCCTGCAGGCCCGTCTCTTCCTAACATGTGCTCAAACGCCCACGAAAACTGGTGAGTCCCCTCATGAGCTCAGAAGTGCCAGGGGAAGGAGTTCATGCCGTTTGGCGTGGGCAGGGCTGTCAGAGCGTCCTCTCTGAGGCCCGGCTGCCTGAGCTGGACTCACGGGGGCGGCTCTGCACGTCTGTCCGAGCAGTGACCACTGCAGTGGCCTGCGGGTGGAGGATGTGTTTACCTTCAGACACAGGGCCACTCACCTGCACATGCTTAAAGAGAACCACTAAACGCCATTTTTTATGGGCACGCAGGCTGGATGCAGAAGGCTGGGGAGAGCCCGGGGGCCACAGAAACATCTACACCTTCAAACGGGGCGACTGCGTGACTGCTGATATGTGTCCAAGTTCACAGACTGCAGAACTAGGAAGGGTGCGTGCAGCCCCTGAGGACAGCGGAATGCCACTCACACTGCGGACCACGGCCTTCTCCTCGTCGGCACAGGCGTGGAGCAGGGTGCGCAGGATGGGCTCCAGGTGCTGCGTGATGTGGCCTTCCGCGTGCAGCAGCAGTACCGCCAGCAGCTGCGCCGACTTCACCCTGGTCGCCACCACCCAGTCGGTGATGTCGTGACAGATGGCGGGAAGGATCTTGGAGAGGTTTCTGAAGACCAGCTCCCGGCAGCCCAGCCCCGGGCGGCTCCCTGTGGGTCATAAAGATGGATGGGAACCCGTGAAATTTACAAACAAGATCTCAACGATTCATGTGCGAAGTCACTTACTACACATTCCTCACTTAAGGCACACCTACGGGTTTTATTTTGAGGTCTTAAAAAACTCAAACCAACTCTGAAGACAGAAATGACGCCACCAAGTGTCATAATTTACTTTAAGTCTTTACAGCGATCCTGAGGTGTGACACACAGTAAACTACATGCTCGAAGGGCACAACCCTGTAGTTCTGACAGATGGATACCACTGTGAACCATCGCGGCCATCAAGATAACGCGCACCTGTCACCCAGAAGGTCCCTGTGCTCCCGACGATGCCCTCCCCTCCCCCCGGGCAGCCCCGGCCGGCTTCCTGTCGCTACGGGGAGCCGCAATTTCCCGATTTTCTGTGAGTGCAGCTGCGCAGCACACGCTCCTCTCTGCCGGGCTTCCTCCGCTCCAAGGCCCAGCAAGTGGTGGGGGGCGCCGGGCCCTGCTCACTGCTGAGCAGCGTTCCAGCACACGGACAGACCACAGTCTGTCTGTCTACCTGCCGATGGACGTCTGAGCGGTTCTGCCGTGGGCTGTCGCCGACGAGACTTCTCTTGGGTGGGCGCCCTGGAGCGCCACGGCTAAGCACATGGAAGGTGGGCACTATACTGATTAAGAAATGGCCGAGCGGTTTTCCAACGCTGCTGCACTGCTGTCTGCCCTCCCCAGCCGTGCACAAGGCCTGAAGCTCCTCCATGTCTGCACCACACCTGGCATGGGCAGTCTTAGGTCAAGCCTCCAGGCAGGGAGGGGCATCTCCTTGTGGCTTTGATGTGCATTCTCCTCACGAGCAATGCCCTGGAGCACTGACTCATGGGCTTGTTTGACATCTGTGTGTCTTCAGTGAAGTGTCTTTTCAAACTTTTTTTGCCACTAAAAAAACTGGATTGTGTTCTTGATATTGAGTTTGAGAGTTCTCTCTGTGCTCTGGACACAAATCCTTATGTAAACAATTTGCAAACATCTCAGTCTGTGCCCTGTCGTTTCATTCTCTTAATGTCTTTCAAAGAGCAGAAGTTTTCATTTTGATGAAAAGCAATTTATCAGTCATTCTTTTGTGGAGTGTATTTAGGTCGTACCCTTAGATCCACATGGCATTTCGGGTTAATTTTCATTTATCAGGATGGTTGCATCCAAGCCCACTTTTTTTGCACATCCAGTGATTCCAGCACCATTGCTGAGACGTCTTTTCTCCCCTTGTCTTTGCAACTTGCCAAAATTCAGAGTCCACACGCCTGTGTCTGTTTCTGGACTCTGCTCTGTTCCACTGGTCTGTTGGTCTGATTTTTTATTTTTTTAATTTATTTTTGGCTGTATTGGGTCTTCGTTGCTGCGCACAGGCTTTCTCTAGTTGTGGTGAGTGGGGGCTACTCTTCATTGCGGTGCACGGGCTTCTCATTGCAGTGGCTTCTCTTGTTGTGGAGCACGGGCTCTAGGCACGTGGGATTCAGTAGTTGTGGCACACGGGCTCAGTAGCTGTGGCTCGCGGGCTCCAGAGCACAGGCTCAGTAGTTGTGGCACACGGGCTTAGCTGCTCCGCGGCATGTGGGATCTTTCTGGACCAGGGATCGAACCCGTGCGCCCTGCATTGGCAGGCAGATTCTTAACCACTGCGCCACCACGGAAGTCCATGTCGGTCTGTTTTTATGTTCACAACCTCACCATCTTGATTACTGCGTTTTATGTCTTAAAACCAGAAGTACTCATCTTTCAACCTAGGCCTTTGTCTTCAAAGTTTTGGCTGTGCTAGGTCCTTTACGTTTCCTTATGAATTTCAGGATAAGTTTCTCAATTTCTATAAAAAAGCCTTCGAGGATTTTGATTACAAGATTTTGACCTTAAAGACTCAAAACAACTCTAGAGATAGAAATGAGACGGTGACATGTCAAAGTTTAAAGCATGTTTTAGTAAAAAGAACAGCTTGTACTGAGGCCTCACTTTGATTTTTGTTCCTGTTGCTTTTCTCTTTTTATGGTATATGAGAGAACTAGTTCTAAATGTTTCAGATCCTGCTGATGGTTTAAGTGAGCTTGTTATAATTTTGTAAAAAACAAAAAGGAAAACAATAAATGCCCTTTTCTTCCTGACGACATGTCCCTTGTGGAAAGTTTGTGGGATGAGGGGACAGGTTAGGACCGTCTGGGGAGTGGTCCACTGACAGGCGGGCACACAGCCCGAGAGGCATTTCCAGAGATGCACGCCTCACTCTGAAGATGGCTCTGAAGCCTCCTTTCCTGTACTTGATACGGCAGACATGATAATTTAAAAGACGGTGCATTCTCAAACTTTACTCAATCAGAAAAAATCCTGCTGGCAACTAATTTTTGTACCTTTTCCAAAACATGCGTGATTACCCCTTGTAGCAGTTGTGCGGCGTGGGAGGTGAAGCTGCATGAATAAACATGTGGACCAAAAAAAAAACCACGGGCCTCCCAGGTATGGGGGAGGAGCCGCCTTCTGGGTCTCACAGTGAACAGCAGCGGGTGCACACGAGGCGTGAGCAGTTGTCTTCATGCTGCCCTTCGTGCAAGGCGTCCCCTCCAGGGTGGCCGTCCGAGCCTGACTTCACCTGACCAGGGCTGGAGGGGCCTGTGGGCCCCGGTCCCGGTCCCTCCCATGGTGCTGCCTGTCTGACCCGGTGCATGTATACCAGGCTCTGTCCCTGCCAGTGGCACTCCACCGTCACTCCACTGTAAGAAGACACCTGCAGACAGACTGCAGTGATACAGGCGTCCGATCAAGTTCAGTGGAAGGGACTTCGTTCCTACACAGAAAGTGTTTCCAGAGCAGAAGAAACTAGACACGTGTGGGGTTGAGGGGCAAAGAGGGGGGCCGCAGCCCGGCAGGCAGGGGGCTTCCTTGGAAATGCAGCCCGGATCTGACTCAAGAGCTAAGGGAACACATGGCGTGCCTGCGCACACACACACGCACCCGCGGGCGCTCACGGTCTGGCAGAGAACCACGACAAGGGGCAGGACGGGAGGTCCAGCAACGGGAGGCTCTGTTCTGAGGGTAGCATCACCCGGAACACGAGGACTGCGTCTCACTGGCTACCTGTGTGTTTGCTTCTCCAGGTGAAGCTCACAGAACAGCTTTGTGAGATGACAAAGCACCACCCATTTCCAACGTTTCCCCATCAGGCTCACGCTCCTCGGCTGGCCGCGCCCTCACGTACCCAGGGAGGCCCGCCCAGGACCGCGAGGGAGGCCCTTCCCGCCGTCCGGCTCTACCTCCGGGACTCGCCCTGCTGCACCGCTGGCCTGGGCTGGCCGCGCTCACCTGGCGAGGGGTGGTGTGCGGGGGGCGGGCCAGCGAAGTCCAGCTTGTCCTTGAGGTCCTCCTCGTTCTCCATCTGCCAGCGCAGCCCGACCTGCTCCCAGAGGCCGGCTGCCCCGCACCTGCCGCACAACACAGACCCGGGTCAGGGGGCGCCCTCGGGGGGGCGGCCGGGTCTCTGCCCGAGGGAGCTCACCAGTGAGTCTGCCATGCCTCCATCACTAACCCAAGCAAAGTGCTAAAGATGCAAAACTGTACTGTCGAAGTCCCGTGGCCTCCAAGCACGCAGGATGCGGGGACACGGTGGCTCCCGCAAGACTCTGGACCAAAGGAAACAACCACCGCCGTAAACAACAGCTTAGGAAAAGCCAGCGCCTGGTGAGGCGAGCAGGAGGGAGGCGCACGGCACGGCGGCTCTGGGGCGGGACGTGCTTGCCCTGGCACCCAGAACCTCGGCCTGTCCGCCACGTTGCCACTTACGCGATCTCGGGGATCTCATCATCGAGGCTGCTCAGGAGAAGCGGAATGAGCCTGTGCAAGAATGAGTAGCGGTCCCGCAGGTGCAGCAGCCAGCCCCCGACCACGCGCGCCACCGCCTGGCGCACCTGCAAGCAGAGGAGGGTGAGCGGTCTTCACGCGCGTGAGGCCCGCGGCAGCCCCAGGTCCCCCGTGCGGGCACACAGAGGCCCCAGAGCCCGCTCAGGTGCTCTGGCAGCTCTGCATCCCCATCTCGGGCCTGGAACGAGATGCTAGCTCCCTAGGTCTCGCTGCTTCAACCCCTGTCCTCCGGGCTCAGGCCGGACCCTCCACTGGCCACAGCAGGTCCTGCAGCCCCGCCTCAGCCCTGTGGCACGTTTGCGGCCTCCTGTGTGGGAACCTCCTGGCTGGGCTGGGCACTGGCCGCCTATGTCCAAGAAGGTGACGTGCGTGCCTCTACCCACCTCACCCACTGCAGGGAAGAGGTGAGCTTCATGTCGCATGTGACCCAGGGAGCAGCAACAGGCCTCTGTTTTTATCATGTTCTGATTGGACCCAAGGATTCTGATGCCCGTTCCAGTTTAGTCGGGCAGGATACCACCCATGGGGGCTCGGGTTACATCGCACCCCGCGGGCTCCCAAAGTAGCCAGCACTGGACCAGGAGCAGCCGCCTTGCCTCGGCTTCAGGTTCTCCTCTACGTCACTGAAACTCACCTGGGAGGTAAGTTTCATTCTTTCATCCGCCCCTCCCCTCCCCTTCCATCTACCCCCCTCCCCGTGGCCCCCCCCGTCATTCCTGAGCACCAGTGAGGGGCTGGGGGCCAATCAGACCTGCTCCCTCTCCCTTCCACCAGGGTTCTGGCCCAGGGCAGGTGCGCACAAGCGCCCAAGGGCCTGAGCTGATCGCCTGTGGGGCGCCAGCAGCGGGGCAGGTGGGGCTGTTCCCAGGCAGGCTCCTGGGCAAACATCTATACGGTCACATCCTTGGAGCCTCAACAACAGGGTCAGTGCTTTATCCCGCCTACACAAAGCACACAGAACTCCGTCTTCTAGATGAAACACCCACAGTCAGAGACGAGCAATGTGCAGAGGGAGCGCCCGAAGGTCAGGGCGAGCCTGGGGCAACCGAGGGCACGTGCCTGTTTATAGGCAGTGACTTAACCTGAGCTGGATGCTCTCACCTGGATGGTGCACTCAGGGGGCCGGGGCCTTTCTGGGCCTGGAGGAAGCTGTGACAGCCCTGCTGCACCGGGACACCACCCCTTCCCACCTCCTTGGACATATCCTGCAGACCTCAAGTGACCAGGCTCCCGAAGGAAAAGCGAGGACATCGCTCTGGGTCCCCTGCTGAGAAAGTAGGGAGGGATGGGCCTCTCATCACTTCCTGGGTAAGTGATCAGAGCCTCTAATCTTCCTGTGTAATAGAACAGGCACCTGGAGCCATTCTGGCTGTCTGCACACACACTAGCAAAACTGTCCTGACTCGTGCAAGTTCAATGTTTCATGGTATAAAGTAACTGTGACCAGCACAGAGAAAGGTACCCAACATCACTAATCACTAATCCTCAGGAAAATGCAAGTCAAAACCACAGGGAGATACCAGCTCACGGATGCAGAGGAACTGGATCCCTTGTACATTGCTGGTAGGAATGCAAAGCAGTGCAGCCACGTGGAAAACAGTTTGGTGACTTCAACAAGCTACACATGTGTTACTGTAGGACGGACACAGCAATTCCACTCCTGAGTGTTTACCCGAAAGAAGTGAAGCAGGACTCAAACGGATCCCTGCACACCATCGTCCTCAGCATCCCTATGCACAACAGCTAAAAGGTGGCAACAACCCAAGAGTCCGTGGACGGATGAATGGAGGAACACAGTGTGGTCTGTCCACACGGTGGATGCTATTTAGCCTTAAAAGGAGCAAAGCACTGACACCTGCCACAGACGGGTGGACCTCACCAACACGATGCTGAGTTGAGAGAGGCCAGTCACAACAGACCCCATCCTGATTCCACTTACATGAAACAGCTAAATTGTCAGATCCAGAGAGACAGAAAGATTAGAGGTCATTAGGGGGGTGGGGGGGATGGGGAGTAATTGCTTAATGGTCACAGTTTCTGTTCGCGATGATAAAAAAAGTTTTGGAGGGTGGTGATGGTTGCACAGCACTGTGAATGTGCTTAATATCACTGAACTGTGCACTTAAAAATGGCTTAAATGGCAAATTTTGTTATAAACATTTTACGAAAAAATTTAAAATTAATGATGTAATATATCAAAAACATTGAACGCTTTAAGTGAGGGAATTGTATGGTATGTAAATTATGGCTTGATAAAGCTGTTTTAAAAAATGAAACAAATCAAAATAAAGAGTTAATTATAAGGGAGCCCCCATAAGACGATCAGCGGATTACTCTACAGAAACGCTGCAGGCCAGAAAGGAGTGGCAAGATATATTCAAAGTCCTGAAAGGGAAAAGTCTGCAACCTAGCATACTCTATCCAGCAAGATTACCATTTAGAATAGAAGGAGAGAAAAAGAATTTCTCAGAGAAGCAAAAACTAGAAGAACACAGCAATACTAAACCTATCCTAAAAGAAATATTGAAAAGTCTTCTCTAGATAGAAAAGAAGCAAGAAGCTATAGGAAAGAGAAAAATCACAATTGGAAAGTAAATCACTTAAATAAGCCAGTATACAGGTTAAAAAAAATGTAAAAAATTTTTGTGACAGCAACAATAGCCACAATGAATGACGAAAGGATAACTATGAAGATGTAAAAGAGGACAGCAAAATCATAAAACGTGGGCGAGAAGAGTAAGAAAATGTCGATTTTTTTTCTTTTAGAATGTGTTTGAGCCCCTAATGACTATCAGTCTAAAGTAAGTAGATATAACTATGGGTTAACATACTTGAAAAACAGGGTAACCACAAATCGAAAACATACAACAGATTCACAAAACCCAAAAAGAAGAGAACACAAGCATAATATAAAAGGAAATCATCAAATCTCTGGCTAGGCTCACCAAGAAGAAAAGAGAGAGGTCCCAAATAAATAAAATAAGAAATGAAAAGGGAAAAATAACAACTGATACTGCAGAAATACAAAAGACCATAAGAGAATACTATGAACAATTATATGTCAACAAATTTGACAACCTAGAAGAAATGGACAAGTGTCTAGAAACATACAGCTCACCAAAATTGAAACACGAAGAAATAGAAAACTTAAACAGACCAATTACTAGAAGTTAAGTAGAATCTGTAATAAAAAAGCTCCCTGGGCTTCCCTGGTGGTGCAGTGGCTGAGAACCTGCCTGCCAATGCAGGGGCCATGGGTTCGAGCCCTGGTCTGCGAAGATCCCACATGCCGCGGAGCAACTGGGCCCGTGAGCCACAATTACTGAGCTTGCGTGTCTGGAGCCTCTGCTCCGCAACAAGAGAGGCCGTGATAGTGAGAGGCCTGCACACCGCGATGAAGAGTGGCCCCCACTTGCCACAACTAGAGAAAGCCCTCGCACAGAAATGAAGACCCAACACAGCCATAAATAAATAAATAAATAAAGTAATTAATTTAAAAAAAAAAAAAGCTCCTTGCAGGGAATTCCCTGGCAGTGCAGTGGTTAGGACTTGGCGCTTTCACTGCGAGGGCCCAGGTTCAATCCCTTCTTGGGGAACTAAGATCCCACAGGCTGCATGGTGTGGCAAAAAACAAACAAACAAAAACAAAAACAAAACAAAAACTCCCTGCAAACAAAAATCCAGGACTGGGTGGCTTCACTGAGGAATTCTACCAACCATACAAAGAATGTACACCTATCCTCCTCAAACTCTTCCAAAAGACTGAAAAGGAGGTAACATTCCCAAAGACATTCTATGAAGCCACCATCACCCTGATACCAAAATCAGACAAAGACACCACCAAAAAAGAAAATTATAGGCCAATATCTTCGATGAATATAGATGCAAAAATTCTCAACCAAATGTTACCAAACCCAATCCAAGAACACATAAAAAAGATCATACACCACGACCAAGTTGGACTCATCCCAGGGTCACAAGGATGGTTCAACATACGCAAATCCATCAATGTGAAACACCACATCAACAAAAGACAAAAACCACATGCTCATCTCAAGAGATGCAGAAAAAGCATTTGATAAAATTCAACATCCATTCATGATAAAAACTCTTACCAAAGTGGGTATAGAAATAACATATCTCAACATAATAAAAGCTATTTGTGACAAACCCACAGCCAACACAATACTCAATGGTGAAAAGCTGAAAGTCTTCCTCCACTCTCACCACTTCAATTCAACATATATTGGAAGTCCTAGCCACAGCAATCAGATAAGAAAAAAGAATAAAAGGTATCCAAGTTGGAACAGAAGAGGTAAAATTCTCACTATATGCAGATGACATGATACTATATTTAGAAAACCATAAAGACTCCACACAAAAACTACTAGAACTGATGAACAAATTCAGCAAAGTAGCAGGATACAAGATTAACATACAGAAATTCGTTGCATTTCTTTACACTAACAATGAAACATCATAAGGAAATTAAAACAAAAAAAACTTTTAAAAATTGCAACCAAAAAATTAAAATACTTAGGCATAAACCTGACCAAAGAGGTAAAAGACTTATGTGCTGAAAGCTATAAAACATAAAGAAATCTATAGATTTAATGTGATACCTATCAAATTACCCATGACATTTTTCATAGAGAACAAATAATCCTAAAATTTACATGGAATCATAAAAGATCCAGAATTGCCAAGGCAAACCTGAGGAAAAAGAAAAAAGCAGAAGGCATAACCCTCCCAGACTTCAGACAATACTATAAAGCTACAGTAATCAAAAGAGCATGGTAGGGGCTTCCTTGGTGCAGTGGTTAAGAATCCGCCTGCCGGGCTTCCCTGGTGGCGCAGTGGTTGAGAGTCCGCCTGCCGATGCAGGGAACACGGGTTTGTGCCCCGGTCTGGGAAGATCCCACATGCCGTGGAGCGGCTGGGCCCATGAGCCATGGCCGCCGAGCCTGCGCGTCTGGAGCCTGTGCTCCGCAACGGGAGAGGCCACCGCAGTGAGAGGCCTGCGTACCGAAAAAAAAAAAAAAAAAGAATCCGCCTGCCAATGCAGGGGACACGGGTTCAAGCCCTGGTCTGGGAAGATCCCACATGCCACAGAGCAACTAAGCCCATGCGCCACAAGAAGCCACTGCAATGAGAAGTCCGTGCACTGCAACAAAAAGCAGCCCTCGCTCGCCACAACTAGAGAAAGCCCGTGTGCAGCAACGAAGACCCAACGCAGCCAAAAATAAATAAATTTATTAAAAAAAAAAAACAGCATGGTATTGGCACAAAAACAAACATATGGATCAATGGACTAGAGAGCCCAGAAATAAACCCACACAACTATGGACAATTAATCTTTGACAAAGGAGGCAAGAATACACAATGGGGAAAAGACGGTCTCTTCAGCAAGTGGTGTTGGGACAGTTGGACAGGCGCATGTAAATCAATGAACACACCCTCTCACCATACACAAAAATAAACTCAAAATGGCTTAAAAACTTAAACTTAAGACATGACACCATAAAACTCCTAGAAAAGAACATAAGCAAAACATTCTCTGACATAAATCATACAAAGGGTCAGTCTCCAAAGCAACAGAAATAATAGCAAAAATAAACAAATGGGACCTAATCAAACTCACAATCTTTTGTACAGCCATGGAAACCATAAACAAAACAAAAAGATGACCTATGGACTGGGAGAAAATATTTTCAAATGATGTGACCGAGGGATTAATTACCAAAATATACAAACAGCTCATACAGCTCAACAACAAAAAACCAAACAACCCAATCGAAAAATGGGCAGAAGACCTAAATAGACATTTCTCTAAAGAAGACATACAGATGGTCAACAGGCACATGAAAAGATGCTCAACATTGGTAATTATTTGAGAAATGCAAATCAAAACTACAGTGAGGTATCACCTCACACAGGTCAGAATGGCCCTCATTAAAAAGTCTACAAATAACCAATGCTGGAGAGTGTGGAGAAAAGGAAACCCTCCTACAGTGTTGGTGGGAATGTAAGTTGGTGCAGCCACTATGGAGAACAGTATGGAGGCTCCTCAAAAAACTAAAGCTATAGCTAACATATGATCCAGCAATCCCACTCCTGGGCATATATCCAGAGAAAGCCATAATTCGAAAAGATTCATGCACCCCTATGTTCACAGCAGCACTATTCACTATAGCCAAGATATGGAAACAACCTAAATGTCCATGGACAGATGAATGGATAAAGAAGATGTGGTATATATATACAGTGGAATATTACTCAGACGTAAAAAAAGAATGAAATAATGCCACTTGCAGCAACACGGATGGACCTAGAGATTGTCATACTAAGTGAAGTAAGTCAGAGAAAGACAAATACCATGTGATATCACTTATATGTGGAATCTAAAATACGACACAAATGAACCTATCTATGAAACAGAAATAGACTCACAGACATAGAAAACACACTTGTGGTTGCCAAGGGGGAGGAGGGTGGGAGAGGGATGGAGTGGGAGTTTGGGATTAGCAGATGCAAACTAGTATATACAGGATGGGTAAACAACAAGGTCCTACTGTAGAGCACGGGGAACTATATTGAACATCCTGTGATAAACCATAACGGAAAAGCGTCTAAAAGACAACGTACATATATGTCTAACTGAATCACTTTGCCGCACAACAGAAATTAACACAACGTTGTAAATCAACTATACGCCAATAAAAAAAAAAGAAGAAAGAAACAAATCAAGAACGTGTGGTTGGAGGCAGGGTGGGTTGCTGCGAGCGGCCTGGGGCCAGACCCAGGCCTGGAGCGGGAGGCCAGCTCCAGCTGGGGGCCCTGCGTACCTTACAGCAGCCCCAAGCCTCGGACGCGGAGGACTTCTGTGGGAAGGAATGAGATGATATTTAATGTATGGATGGACAGGACACGAGGAGGCTGGCACTTCTGCTGTCGGGGCACAGGGGCCACGGGCCGACCACCCTGCAAGTCCCCCACCGGCAACCACCGCTCCTCCTACCCCAAGGGACCGAAGCCCTTCACCCCATCCTTCCTTTGGGAGAGAGCCTGCCCTCACAGCCTTCACTCTGCTCCCCACGGCCTCAAATCCACGACACGCCCTCTGAGCTGGCTTCTGCCAACAAAAGAGCCGGTTCTCTCACCTCCACCTGCCTGCCTGTCTTGTCTGTCTCTCCTCAGGCCCCAAAGCCAATGGAAGGAATTACCCCGACACACCAACCCTGGCTCCATCCTCCTCCCAGGCCTCGTTTGCCAACCTCTGCGGCTTTTTGATTAAATCACCTTGATGGAGGAGGATGTTACAGATGCTTCTGCAAACCGTGGAAATACTCAGTTTAGAGTTTCTTCCTAAAAGGAAGCAGTCCTCTTCCCCATTCCTTAGGATTAAGAATAACAAATATATTATGACAACTCAGGTCTCCCCCAGCTTCTCAAAGACGTGAAATAGGAACACCTGTGACCGCGAATGATGGAAGGACATTTAACGTCACATATAGTGTCTTTAAAAAAAGACAAAAGTGAGGGAGTGACAGATAGCACACTGGCACACTTCTGGTGGAGAAAAGGGACTGCCTGGAGGAGAAACTCTGGTTACCTGGGGGACATCATCAAAGAGCCGCTGAGCAAAGTGAGGAAGGACGTCGTCCACTGACTTCCCGCTGCCAAACTGGATCACCGTGCCCGTGGCCTCGATGACGGCCACCCGCACCTTCCAGTGCTGGTGGGAGATGGACTGCATCAGGGGGCCGATCAAGGACTCCGACTGCATGTGGAAGTGGTCTGTGGGACGGGGAGACCATCAGTCACCAGGGGAGCCTGTGAGCGTCAACCCTGGCCCAGTTCCCTTGGGCTGGCCACACACAGCTTTGTACCCCAGCACCAGAAGAGGTGCAGAGTTGGGCGTGTGACCCAAACAACACCTCTCCGACCCAGAGACTTGGGAGGACCAAAGGGAAAAGGCTGGGGCTGGACCCATCTCAGCTGAACACAAGAGCTGGGAGGGGAGAACATGAAGCTGCAGATGGCTGCGACAGGCACTCCAGAGTGCGCTGAGTGGGGAGACACTGCGCGTCCCCACCTCTGGATGAGCCTGCAGCCAGACAGCCAGCACGACCGCAGGAAGCTGGATCAGCACCGCTGATCCAGGCAAAGCCACCCCACTTCCTAAAGGCCTCACAGGAAGTCACGACCAGGGGCTCTTCGTGACAGCCAAGCGAACCCTCTGGTTCAGCAGTTGTGCCGCTGCTTGAGACCCTTCTGTAAGGTCGCTATTTCTGTGATACTTGGGGCGAATTCTTTCAGCGTTCGGGTCCTGAGATCAATGCAGGCTTCGGTCCACTACTGCCCAGTGTGCGGGGAGCCAGAGGAGAGACCCCGTGCGCAGAACTGGGGGGTGGGGGACAAAGGGGACGGCGTTGAGACGGGGAGATGCTTCACTCGGCAACAAACGAGCATCCACTGCGGGCAGGCACTGCGCTCCAGGCTGCGGGTGCAACAGGGTGCGGACGAGGGCGGGCTTGGGGAGGGGGCGACGTGGGAGGAGACAAGGGCGGGCACCTGGCGTGGCGCGCGCCAGGCCCGCGGCGCACTCGCAGCTCTCTCGGCGCACGGCGGCGAAAGGGTCAAGCAGCGTGCAGCGCAGCACGCGCACCGCGTCGTCCAGGTGGGGCGCGAGCGCAGCGCCGCTCAGGCGTATGGCCCGGTGGAGCAGCTGCACTAGCGCCAGGCGCAGCTCCTCGCAGACCTCGGGCGGTGGGCGGCGCGCGGGCTCGGGGCCGGCCAGGCGCGCGGCGAGAGCGGGCAGCAGGCGCGGGAGGGCGTCACGGGGCCGGGCGGCTCGCCGCAGGCCCAAGTCCAGCAGGTGCACGGCCAGCGCGCGGCAGCCCTCGGCCGGGTCGGCCAGGCAGCGCAGCAGGCGCGGCAGCAGCAAGCGCGCCCACGGGCCCTGAAAGGCGGCGGCTGCGGCGGCGGGGTCGCCGTCGGGCGCCTCGGGCCGCGCCGCCTCCAGGGTGCGCTGCAGCGCCTCCAGCGCGCGCCGCCGGCCCAGCTTGCTGTCGGCCTCCAGACCGGGCAGCATGCGGCTCAGTACGCGGCTTAGCTCCGCCGCCTCGGCCGTCTCGGCGGCTTCCGCCGGGTCCGGGGACGCCGCGGCCTCGGTCGCCACCAGCGCCGCCATCTTCCCTGCGTTGCTAGTCACCAGGGGAGACCGGCGCTTTTACGACGGTCGCGGCGCGGATTACGGCGCGTTTTCCGGTCGGCTCCGAGAGTAACTTTATTGGCAGCTCGGAACACTGACAGGACACGGCCGGGGGGCGGGGCCGGGGCGGGGAGTCGGAGGGCTGAGGGGACGCGGGCCAGGCCGGGGGTCCTGGGCAGGTCTGGAGCCCGATATGATGGCCGCTGCGGACTTGTGTACAGGGAGGCGTGGTGGTCGTGCCCTTTCGTGTCCTTAGGTGGCTACTGTGACCCTCACCCCTCCTGCATGGCCGGGTCGGACCAGTTCCGTCGGATACGGTGACGTGGAGAGGGCACGTGGTCTCTCCGGCTCGGGTCTTCGTCTAGTGGGTGACACGTTAATCAGCGTGCAGTTACCGTGGTCCTGAGGGATGAAGGCCAAGGAACTTGGCGTAGACTGGAAGGCTTCCTGGAGGAGGTGACAGCCCCAGCGTAATATAGTGGGTAATTAAGAGTTAACTAGGTGAAGGGGGGGTGAAAGCGTTGCAGAGGGAGGGGACAGCATGGGCAAAGGTCTATGGTGAGAGTGGGACTGCTCAGTTGTGCCCCCCAAAGTTCACGTAGTGGAGTCCTGACCCCCCCAGGACCTCAAAACATGACCTTACTTAGCAATAGGGCCATTCAGACTCATCAAGTTAAGAAGGGGCCATTAGGATGGGCCCTAATCCATATGACTGTGTCCTTATAGAAAGGGGAAACTGGAGACAGACAGGCACACGGGGAGAACGATCATGAACATGGATGGCCATCTGCAAGCTTAGGGGAGCGGCCTGGAGCAGACTCACTCCCTCAGCGGCTCTGGGGGAAGCAGCCTCTGACACCGTGATCCTGGACTTCTGGATTCCAGAGCAGTGGGGAGATAAATTTGTGTTGTTTAAGCTGCCAGGTTTATTTATGGTACTTGTTTGGGCAGCCGCAGGAACAAATACGGGGAGGGGGCCTGACACTGTTCTGGGAAATGAAGAAAAGTGCCCTGTGGCTAGAGCCCAGGGGCCCAGGGGGAGCAGGGTCCTCTGGGTGGCTCCACTGGGTCCCAGTGGGGGATGCAAGGGAGGATTTAAGGTGGAAGAGTTTCGCGTAAGGTTTGTGTTTTTAGAAAACTGCTTTGGCTGTTGCAGAACAGGTTAGCAGGGAGCCAGGCAGTCGCCACATGAGGCCGTTGCGAAGGCCGTGCTCTGGCTGAGATGAGTGAGTAAACACTTAAATGGGGGTGGTGGACTTCCCGCCCCAGAAGGTGCTGCAGACTCACTTTCCCAGCTGCTCCCCACGAAGTACAACTAAGTACCTTGCAGCTAGTTCAGCAGACAATGGGGAAAGGCTCTGAGCTGGAAAGGAGACGGGCTGACTGGGGACTCCAGCACTGGAGGAACAGCCATGGGATGGGTCCCTGGGGTTTCTCTTTTTTGCTTACAGGTTCCTGGAATAGGCGCTAGAGGGGGCTGCAACCCAGACCTGCCGACAGGCCACTCACTGAGTACACGATCACTGCCTCGGCATCTGTTCTGTGTGGCCCGCTGCCTGCGGGGCCTTGAACTGACAGGAGCCCTCCCTCGAGTGCGTGACCTAGATGACAGCCCGCAGAGTCACCAGTAAACCGAAGTTCCTGATGTGACCCCCCCGCCCAACACCCTTGTGATAACCTCTCTCCCTGTGGGCCCCATATATTAAACCCCTGTGAAGCTCACCAAAACCCTGCTCCCTCTGGTTTGAACTGACCTATCCAGCCTTAGCCCAGGAACCCCAAAGGACAGCCCTGTGGACCTAATACAGGTGTGCGCCCCGGGTCCTGACTCCTGGGCACTCTGCCTGTACCTCCTCCAGGACCTGTGAGTCGTAAGCTTCTCTGTTGTGCTATTTCTTGAGATCTTTGTTGAACCACCAGGCAGCCTGGCCACATGCCTTCTGACACTGCAGGCAGCACCCACAGGGATGGAGTGACAGCCGGGGTAGCACCGGGACAATGGAGCAGACAGGAAGGGCACTGCAAGGGCTGGGGAAATAAAACTATCATTGGAACCACAGGCCATAAAAGTAGGCTGGAATTTATACACTAAACCTAAATGGGATGACTTTCTGCTGAAATAGAAGATTAATTTTTTGTTTGATGTGGACCATTTTTTAAAGTTTTTATTGAATTTGTTACAATAGTGCTTCTTTTTTTTTTTTTTTAAATATATTTTGGTGTTTTGGCTGCGAGGCATGCAGGATCCTAGATCCCTGGCCAGGGATAGAACCTGCACCCCTTGCATTGGAAGGCGAAGTCTGAACCACTGGACTGCCAGGGAAGTCTCTGAAATAGAAGATTTAAATAAAATCAGGATTCTTCTAACACAATAACCAAAATGTCCAGTATACAGTAAAAAACCACTGATCATACCAAGAACCAAGGAAAACCATTATTTGAACATGAAAAGAAGTGAACTGACGTGAACACCAAGATAAATCTTGGAATTATCTGAAAAGGATTTTAAGGCAGTTATAAAAATGCTTTTAAAAATATTTATGGGGCTTCCCTGGTGGCGCAGTGGTTGAGAGTCCGCCTGCAGATGCAGGGGACACGGTTTCGTGCCCCGGTCCGGGAAGATCCCACATGCCGCGGAGCGGCTGGGCCCGTGAGCTGTGGCCGCTAAGCCTGCGCGTCCGGAGCCTGTGCTCCGCAACGGGAGAGGCCACAACAGTGAGAGGCCCGCGTACCGCAAAAACAACAACAACAACAAAAAAGTGCACAGAGCCTCAGATCTGCAGGACAATCGTTTTTATCACCAGAGTCTCAGAACAGGAGGAGGGAGAATGTGGGCTGAAAAACTGTTTGAAGAAATAATGGCTGAAAACTTCCCAAATTTGGTGAAAGACATAAACCCATAGGTACAAGAAGCTAAGGAACCCCTGTGTAGGATAAGCCTTCTGAAAATCCATACTAAGAAACATCATAATTAAATCTGTGAGGACTAAAGACAGAAAAAAAAAAAGTAAAAACAGCCAGAGAGAAATGATGTGTTTCCTAGAGAGGAACACCAGTGTGAATGACAGATTTCTCATCTGAAATCACAGCGGCCAGAAGGAAGTGGTATATTTTTTATATCTGATTGTTGAAGCAAAAACTATAATACTGGGACTTCCCTGGTGGTGCAGTGGTTAAGAATCTGCCTGCCAATGCAGGGGACAAGGGTTCGATCTCTGGTCTGGGAAGATCCCACATGCTGCAGAGCAACTAAGCCTGTGCACCATAACTACTGAGCCTGCACTCTAGAGCCCATGTGCCACAACTACTGAATCCCAGGCGCCTAGAGCCTGTGCTCCGCAACAAGAGAAGCCACCGCTATGAGAAGCCTGTGCCCCACAACAAAGAGTAGACCCTGCTCTCCGCACCTAGGGAAAAGCCAGCATGCAGCAACAAAGACCCAATGCAGCCAAAAATAAATCAATTTATATATAAAAATTATAATACCGATGAGCTCTGTGCGCATGGGGGAAATATTTACAATAATTATATTTGAAAAGTGAGGGTAAAGGGAGGTTTCTACACTGCACTAGATGTGAAACATCGGTACCAGTAAACTGATAATTACATACGTGCACAGGAGCATGTAGAACAGCCACTGAGAAAAGTAAACAGTGATATACTCAATACGTTATAAAGTGGGATTCTAAAGGATATTCAAGTATCCCATAATATGGCACGAGGAAACAAACACAAATAATAGAATGGCAAACTTAGCCTCTTTCAATAGTTCAAAATGTAAAGGGGCCAAACACACCAGTTAGAAGACAAAGATTTGCAGAGGGAATAAAAAACCACGACCCAACTATATGTCATTTACCGTATGCTAAAACTCACTTCAAACGTAATGATGTGGGTAGGTTGAAAGAAAAAGGAAAAAGACATCGTGTAAACATTCATTTATAAAAAGCACAATGACTAATATCAGCTAATTTCCCTTCAGAGCGAGGGAAATTTCTACAGAAAAGGAGGTCCATTGTATAAGAATAAAAGGATCCATCCACCAGGAAGTTACATAGCAATCGCAAATGTTTATGACCCAAACAACAGACCTTCAAGATACATGAAGCAAACACTGGCAGAGCTGAAAGGAGAGAGACCAACCCCCAGTTACAGGTGAGGACCTCAGCACCCACTCTCCACAACTGCTGGAACTACTAGACATTCCACAAGGACACAGAACACCATCAACCAAAGGGATCAGTGGACATTTACAGACCCTCCACCCAACAGGGCAGGATGCCCGTTATTCACAGGTGCCCAGGGACATGCCAGGATAGACTGTATCCATAAAACAGACCTCAGCAAATGTAAAAGAAGTGAAGTCACAGAGAGCATTTTCTCTGACAAAAAATGGAATCAAACTAAAAATCAGTAACAGAAAGACAATCTTCAAACATGGAAATTAACTCGGTTCTACTCAGAAATAAAGAGGAAGGAACTATTGATACATGCAAGAACTTGGATGCATCTCTAGGGGATTATGCTGAGTAAAAGAATACAATCATACAAGATACCAATAGTGTGATTCCATGTGTATAACATGCATGAGATAATTACAGAGATGGGGGACACGTGAGTGGTCCCCAGGGGTTAGGGGTGGGGCTGGGTGCGACTACACGGGTGGCAGAAGGAGCCTTGTATAGTGATGGTGCTTGAGTGTCCTGACTGTGGTGGTGGCTACATGAGTACTTAGGGGGGATCTGGCCTCTTGTCCCGTCCCCAGACATTCTTCCAGACTGAATAGAATAAGCAGGGGCAGTAGAACAGGGGGACCACGGAGAGAAAAGTCTTTATCTGAGCAACATGAAACAGGAATAAGAAGCTACATAAAAGAAGCTGCGTAAAAGGTGGATGATAGAAGCAGATAACGCTAATTTCTGGTTAGTACACGGCCTAGAAAAAGGGATAATCAAAATGGGGCAGAGAAGGTATTCAAAGGGATAACCGAGACAAATTTGCCAGAGTTAAAAGTGAAAGACCTTCAGATTGAAGGAACTACACAGCACCAGTGAGGCACACGTATTGACATGTTGTGAGACTTAGGAATACCAAAGAAAAACAGGAGTTTGTGGGAGACTGCCAGAGAGAGAACAGGGTGCCTTCAAAGGGACAAGAGTCAGATTGATGTCAGATGTTTTTCTTTAGTTCCACAAATACTTTTGTAATTGCTTCCAGTGGCCCGTTTAGGGTAAAAAAAAAAAAAAGTTGATTTGTTTTTCCCCAACAGGAAAATATACGGACAAATCTGAACACAGTAAAGGAAAGGAAATGATAAAGGTTAGAACAGAAATTAATGAAACAGTAAAACGAACATACATACAACACAGATTATTAAAACCAAGAGTTTATTCTTTTTAAGGGCTAATAAAATCGATAACCCACCTGTCAGGACTGACAAGGAAAAAAGAAGTTCAAAAGCACGAATACCAACATGAGGGTAAAAGTTTATCATGAAAGGTTCTAAACATTAAAAATATACTAAAGTAATAATACTTTATGCCAAAAAAATATATGAAATAGAGGAAATCCTAGGAAAACATAATTTACTAAAATCTCCACTAGAAGAAATAGAAACTCAGAATAGTCTACTACCTATTAAAGAAGTTGAATTTATCATTTCAAAGCTTCCCACAATAAAGGCTATAATCACAGATGGCAGCAAACACTTCAGAACACTTAATAAGGAAATAACTCCAACCGCCAAATTGTCTTCTAAAGTGCCTGTACCATTTTGCATTCCCAGACAGTAATGAATGAGAGTGACCATTGCGTCACATCCTTGCCAGCAATTGGTATTGTCAGTTTTTTTTGAATGTTAGCTATTCTAATGGGTCTGTAGTGGCGTCTTGTTGTTTTATTTGCAATTCCTTATGGCGTATGATGTGAATCTTTTCATATCCTTGTTTTCCATTTTATATCTTATTTAGTGAGATGTACATTCAGATCTTTTGTCCATTTTTAATTGTATTTATTGTTGAGTTTTAAGATTTATATATTTTGATACGTCTTATCAGATATATGTTTTACTATTTTCTCTCACTCGGTGGCTTTTCATTTTCTTAACAGTAATTGGCAGAGCAGAAGTTTTAAATTTTAATAAAATTCAACTTAGTTTTTTTTTTTAAAAGGAAATAACTCCAATCTGAAAATAGGAAGAGAGAACATCTCCCAACTCATTTTGTGGAGCCAGTGTCACAGCCTTGATCCCAAAAAGTGAGAGGGAAATTACAGAAGGGAATATTAGAGATCAACTTTTTTCAACACAGATGCAAAAATCCTAAACAAAATCTTAACAAATTAAATCCGGAAATAGGCACTTTAGAAAGGATAATACATTGAGACCAGATTGAGTTTATTCCAGGAATGCAAGTTAATTTTTTAACATTAAAAATTAATGTGCCCCGAATAGCCAAAGCAATCTTGAGAACGAAAAAAGGAGCTGGAGGAATCAGGCTCCCTGACTTCAGACTATACAACAAAGCTACAGTAATCAAGACAGTATGGTACTGGCACAAAAACAGAAAGATAGATCAATGGAACAGGATAGAAAGCCCAGAGATAAACCCATGCACATATGGACACCTTATCTTTGATAAAGGTGGCAGGAATGTACAGTGGAGAAAGGACAGCCTATTCAATAAATGGTGCTGCGAAAACTGGACAGGTACATGTAAAAGTATGAGATTAGATCACTCCCTAACACCATACACAAAAATAAGCTCAAAATGGATTAAAGACCTAAATGTAAGGCCAGAAACTATCAAACTCTTAGAGGAAAACATAGGCAGACACTCCATGACATAAATCACAGCAAGATCCTTTCTGACCCACCTCCTAGAGTAATGGAAATAAAAACAAAAATAAACAAATGGGACCTAATGAAACTTCAAAGCTTTTGCACAGCAAAGGAAACCATAATCAAGACCAAAAGACAACCCTCAGAATGGGAGAAAATATTTGCAAATGAAGCAACTGACAAAGGATTAATCTCCAAAATTTACAAGCAGCTCATGCAGCTCAATAACAAAAAAACAACCCAATCCAAAAATGGGCAGAAGACCTAATAAACATTTCTCCAAAGAAGATATACAGAATGCCAACAAACACATGAAAGAATGCTCAACATCATTAATCATTAGAGAAATGCAAATCAAAACTACAATGAGATATCATCTCACACTAGTCAGAATGGCCATCATCAAAAAATCTAGAAACAATAAATGCTGGAGAGGGTGTGGAGAAAAGGGAACACTCTTGCACTGCTGGTGGGAATGTGAATTGGTTCAGCCACTATGGAGAACAGTATGGAGGTTCCTTAAAAAACTACAAATAGAATTACCATATGACCCAGCAATACCACTACTGGGCATATACCCTGAGAAAACCAAAATTCAAAAAGAGTCATGTACCAAAATGTTCATTGCAGCTCTATTTACAATAGCCCGGAGATGGAAACAACCTAAGTGCCCATCATCGGATGAATGGATAAAGAAGATGTGGCACATATATACAATGGAATATTACTCAGCCTTAAAAAGAAATGAAATTGAGCTATTTGTAATGAGATGGATAGACCTAGAGTCTGTCATACAGAGTGAAGTAAGTCAGAAAGAAAAAGACAAATACCGTATGCTAACACATATATATGGAATTTAAGGGGAAAAAATCTCATGAAGAACCTAGGGGTAAGACAGGAATAAAGACGCAGACCTACTGGAGAACGGACTTGAGGATATGGGGAGGGGGAAGGGTGAGCTTTGACAGGGCGAGAGAGAGTCATGGACATATACACACTAACAAACGTAGTAAGGTAGATAGCTAGGGGGAAGCAGCCGCAAGGCACAGGGATATTAGCTCGGTGCTTTGTGACAGCCTGGAGGGGTGGGATAGGGAGAGTGGGAGGGAGGGAGACGCAAGAGGGAAGACATATGGGAACATATGTATATGTATAACTGATTCACTTTGTTATAAAGCAGAAACTAACACACCATTGTAAAGCAATTATACCCCAATAAAGATGTTTAAAAAAAATTAATGTGATTTACCACATTTTTAAAAACATAAATAAATTTATTTATTTATTTTTGGCTGAGTTGGGTCTTTGTTGCTGCACACAGGCTTCTCTAGTTGTGGCGAGCGGGGGCTACTCTTCGTTGTGGTGCACGGGCTTCTTACTGTGGTGGCTTCTCTTGTCGTGGAGCACGGGCTCTAGGCACGCGGGCTTCAGTAGTTGTGGCTCGTGGGCTCAGTAGTTGTGGCTCATGGGCTCTAGAGCACAGGCTCAGTAGCTGTGGCACACAGGCTTAGTTGCTCTCTGGCGTGTGGGATCTTCCAAGACCAGGGCTTGAACCCGGGTCCCCTGCATTGGCAGGCAGATTCTTAACCACTGCGCCACCAGGGAAGCCCAACCACATTTTTAGAAAAGGAGAAAAGTGGTGTGATCATCTCAGTAGTTGCAGGTAAAGCACTTGATGAGATTTGACGCCCATTTGTCGTTTAAAATCTTAGCAAGTTACGACTAGAAGGGAGGCTCTCTAAGGCATGTCTGCCAAGATCCCACAGCCAAAAAACATGTTCAGTGTAGTTGTTTCCAAAGTAGCCCATTTTTCCCCAGCTCTGCACACATGGCCAGTCCTCTCCCAGTAAAGTGGAGCCCCAGCTGGCCTGTAATTCGCTGTGGCCGTCAGAGTGTGGCAGAGGAGGGCCCAGCTGCTCGTGCCTGTTGTGAAGGTCTGGCCACCACCTCACCTGTTAGGGTGGTTCTTATAAAAAACAAGCAGAAACGGACAGACATTTGGGAGGAAGAATGTGGAGGAATTAGGCCGCTTGAGGCCCGCCGGCGGGAATGTGAAGTAGTGCAGCCACCGTGGAAACAGTGTGGCGGTTCCTGAAAAAATTCAACAGGATGAGCAAGTGATCCGGCAATTCCCCATCTGGATGTACAGGTGAAAGAAGGGGAAGCAAGGACTCTCGGGTTTGACACCCTCCTTCGCAGCAGCATATTCACAGCAGCTGAAAGGCGGGAGCACCCCACCCGCCCGCGATGGGCGGGTGGATACACAATACACGAGGCATATATCTGACTCTCAGCCTTCAACAGGAACGCGGAGCTGACACCTGCTACCGTGTGGATGAACCTCGACCACGTTAAGCACAGTGAGAGAAGCCAGCACGAAAGGCCACGTGTTGTATGATCCCATGTCCATGAGGCACCTGGCTCAGTGGCCTGGGCTGGGAATTCCAGTTGCTAGAGGCTGTTCCAAGGTCAGGTTTGGGGCAGGTGGATGGTGGGGTAAGAGGGAAAAAGCAAAACTTCTCGGTCCTTTTCCCGGCCCGCCTCCCGCCTCAGCCTCACCAGAGGAAGGGAAAGGCTTTAACTTTAAAGTCAGGCTGGAGTTATGATCATTTCATAGCTCTGGACACTTACAATGACCGAGTTGACCCTGGGTTTATATCTTAACATGACAGTAGAACTTTGAAATTCTCTACGTTTGAGCCGAAATGTATAGGTAGGAGCAGAGAAGGAAACTCCTTCTCCGAATACATTTTAAAGACCCGGCCAAGGGCATCCCTGGTGGCGCAGTGGTTGAGAGTCCGCCTGCCGATGCAGGGGACGCGGGTTCGTGCCCCGGTCCGGGAAGATCCCACGTGCCGCGGGGCGGCTGGTCCTGTGAGCCATGGCCGCTGAGCCTGCGCGTCCGGAGCCTGTGCTCCGCAACGGGAGAGGCCGCAACAGTGAGAGGCCCGCGTACCGCAAAAAAGAAAAAAAAAGACCCGGCCAAGGTAGGAAAAAGCAGCTTCAGGTCTGTTCCAGGACCCCCTCGTTCAGTGTCCTGGTTACAAACGTGGTGAAGTGTGTCATTTCGCCAGCATAATCAACTCTTGTAAGCAGATGCGCTGGGTTGGTCCATTCACTCGCTGTCTCCTCCGGCCGGTTCTCATGGGGCGCTCGGGGTCCCCGGCATCCGCAGCAGCTCATCCTCCTAGCGGAGCCCGTGCTCGGTGCTCGGCGCTTGGGGCGCGGGGGGGGGGGCAGTCAATCGAAGGACGTCCTGAGCAGGTGCGGGGAGGAACAGAGGGCAGGATGCCTGAGGACAACATGGATGGGGGAAGACACTCGTCAGGGACACACGAAAGCATGATGGGGCCCTGGGGACGGGCGGCCCTCGCTGCCTGAGGTTGTCACCAGCTTTGTTTTCTGCAGACGTTGGGGGAGTCACCATAAACTCAGGACCTTACACCCCCTGATCACCGCAGGGTCTGTGGGTCAGGAGTCCAGGCAGGGCTCAGCTGTGGCCCCTGAAGGTGGCCCCGGGTCCACGCAGAGGGCTGGGTCCTCTGCTGGGAGTGCCTTGGATGGGCCTGGGGCCCCCCCGCCACACCCCCAAACCATCCCCGGGAGCAGTGTGTGGATTAGATGCACTGACTGGTTCCTGCTGCCTCTCAGGAGCCTGTGGCCACGCCCCAGGCCATGTCCCTCCCCTTCATCCCCGCTCTGGGCTCCCTGCTCTCCTGACCCCAGCTCCTCTCCCACATCCCCCCAGGTTGGCTCTCTGCTCCCGGGAGGAATTAGCTCGCTCCCCCACGAGGGACGTGGCTGGTCACGGGACTTGACCCTGGGCCTCTTGCTCTGCTCCCATCCCCTGGTCCCTTCAGTTCCTGTCAGCTGGGGTTGAGAGCCACACCCACCTAGATGGGTGGGGAGATTCGACGGCTCTTCCAGGTAAAGCCCCCGGCCCCGCCTCACGGCCCCACGCTGGTCAGGTGGCAGGGCCCACGTCAGCGCTGGGCGGGCGGGTGAGAACCCTCCTTTCCTCACCCCAGCGGGTATCTGTCTCCTTGCCCTGCAGGAGGGGGGGATGGGGGGGACAGAAGTTCAGCAAATGGCCTCTGGCACACTTAGAATAGAGCTGCAGCTGCAGGGAGCCCTGGGCAGCACCCCAGGGCCCAACCTGGCCCTCAGGTGTGGGAGCCACAGGGAGGGTTCCCCGCAGAAGCAATGTCCCTGTTGAGTCTTGCTGGGTGAACTGGACTTGGCAGAGCCAGGAGTTTGGGGCGGGGGAGAGGGGTGGTTGGAAAATAATGTGGCTTTGAAGTTGGACCTTTGCAAGATTTGGTGATTCAGGTTCCAGGGCTGAGGTGAGGACCTCGGGGCTGGGGCACGTGAAGCCCTTCTGCTGGCTGTGCTGGGGTGGGTCCTTCCCTGTGGGTGGAGGGGACACACAGACCAGCACGACTTGCTGGGACTTCTGAATGATGACATGATCACCATTGCATGTTTTCAGGACACCCAATAAACCGGGACTTGTCACCATCCAGCGGTGGCGACATCGACCTAGCTGTGTATGGCATCACTGGTCCACACGGTTTCCTGTCCCTGCTCCGTGAGGGGGATGCCTGCCGTCCTCACGTAAGGCCACTGGCTGCCGGTGGTCTAGTCAGTTTCCCTGACGGACCCTGTGCTCGCTGCCCCCCATCACGGAGGGAGAGGGCCGGAGGGATCGTGTCGTTCAGGGTGGAGCCACTTGGATCAGCTGCAAACAACCGCTGTGCCATCAATGCAGACATTTACTGGTTAACACAGCCTGGCCCAGACACAGAGCGAGGCCAGGCTTTCTCGAGGGTCCCTGGCTCCCCTCCTTGAAGCAGTGAGTGAGCTGGATGTGTTGGAAGCATTTCCCTCCCACTCAGGCGACGCAGGGGGCAGGGGCACAGGAGAGATGGGAGGGGCTTGTCTGCAGGCTGGGCCACGGGTGGGGGACCTGGCCTCGCACTACTCCTTGAGGAAGGTGGGGAGGGAGTTCTTAGGGAGAGCCTGCTTGTAGCCCCCGGCTGGCAGGGCCTCTGAAGTAGCTACCTGAGTGGCCTGGAAGGGTCTGCAGGGGACAGGCTAGTGGGAGCTGCCACAGTGGTAGTGTGAGGATGGGGCTCGTCCAGCCACAGCTGAGAGAGGTGGAGGAACCAAGTTTCTGGTGGACTTGGTGCACTGAGCTGACCGCCAGGCCCTGAACCCGGAGAGCTCCTTGTCTTGCAAGACGTGGTCCAGGGGGCTCCCTGCCAGGAGGAGGCTATGTGTGTGGAGGGGGGGCTCGGGGTTAGAAGGCCATCCTCGGAGACGGTCTCCCCCTCCCACTGAACCGTGCAGGGGGAAGGTCCCTGCAGAGATCCCTGGAGCACCCCAGGAGATTCCGAGAACAAAAGCCAGCCCTGGAGCATATGCCCCCCCCCCCAAGTCCGTCAAGTGAAACCTGGCCCTAATTTTTTGTCATCCTCTTCACCAGGCCACCCTGAGGAGCCAGCAGTAACTGGGGGGCGGGGGGGAGGGACAGCAAGCGGGGAGAGGAGGTCTGAGCAATCGGGCAGGTGGAGCGGAGAAACAGCCAACAGTTTAAATTAGTTGTGGAATAAAGTTTTGATTCAGTTGAGACTGGACTTCAGTTCCCAAAAATGACTCTTGCAATAAGTGTGATGGGACAGGTGTGACTGTACCTGAGGTGGGGATGGGCCAGGAGGCACGCCGAGGGCAGGGGATGAAGAGGCAGGAAAGAGCTCCTAGTCTGACCACCTGAGCACATCCTCTTCCTTTCGCTTCAAGCCGTCAGGAAGAAGCTGGGTCAGCGTCAGCCCTGCTGGGGTGCGTGCGGGGCAGCCGGCCACCCTGCAATGTGTCTTTGTGGACAGGGCAGTATGGGTGGGAGAGCAGAGGTCTTCCCCTTTAAAGGCCTGAGATCCCTACCCCATCTCCTGGTATTCAGACTGCTCCAGGTAAAGCGTTGGGGACCCCCAAGTGCCCGAGATGATGTTTCCACCACCACCCTGGCAGAATGGGAGCAAAACATGACTTTTGGCAACAGGAAAATAAGGGTGATTCCCTTTCCTGCAGGCCTGGGCTGGTGGATTAGGGGCTGTGATGGCCTCTGACCTCCTGGAAGCCCATGGGTGGTGGGAAGAATTTAGGATGACCCTGTGATTTCCCCCTGGGGCATCTGGGTGAAGCTGGTGCCCTTAACCAAGAAAAGGAGTAGCCTAGACCTGCCTGGCCACCAATGCAGGCCCTGTGACATGCAGATGTGACACCCCAGGTGTGAAGGTGTGGGAGGCCATCACCCCAAGGCAGCAGGTGGTTGCCACCTGCCAGGGTGGACAATCCGGGCAATCGCAGGGGCTCCAGTGGAGGGGGTGGAGGTGTGAGGAGGGAGCCTGCGGGGCGGTAGTAGTGGTCCTGGTCCAGCTGCGCAGCTTCACATGGATCTGTGGGTCTTTCTGTGCAGCATGAGGCCGGTCAGCCTGAATGCCCTGGGGGCGGGGGAGGGGCGGGGGGGGGGGAAGAGGAGGAGAAAGAGAGGGAGTAGGGGGAAAGAGGGAGGGGACGGGGTAGGCTGCCGGTGAGGGGAAATCTAGGGGGGAGGGAGAGGTGGGTCCTGGGGATGTGGGAGATAGACGGGGTGAGGGGCGGGAGTGAGATGGGGCGGGGAGGGGCAAGCGGGGAGTGGGGGAAGGCCTGGAGCGCGGTCGGCGGGAAGGGGGCGGCGGGGCTGGGGGTGGATCGGCGCGGCGCGGGGGCGGACGGAGGGCGGCGCCGCTGCAGTGCGGGACCCGCTCGCCCGCCGTCCCCGCGCCCGCGCGTCCCCGCGCAGCCGCCTCCGGCCTCCGGCGCCGCGCATCCAGGTACGCGGGGCTGGGGAGGGGTCTGTTCCGGAAACCCCCGCCGGCCGGGAGGCCCCAGGAAGTTTGGCCTTCGGGGAGCCCCCGCCCCCTTGGCCGGTCCGGGGCCGGAAACCGTGGTCGGGGGGCTGGGGGGTTGGGAGGCCGTGGTGGCCGGGCTGCGTGCTCGGCGCTGGTGGGCTGGCCGGGTTCCGGGCCGTCACTGTGACCTGGCCGAGCGCGGGCCGAACGCGCGGCCCTGCCATTGTTCGCCGGGTTCATCTTCCCAGGAGGCCCGTCCGCGGAGCTTCGTTTGTTTTTGTTTCCCTTTCTTTTCCGGTGGAGCCTGTAAGAGCTCCCCCCGTCCCCCCGCCATCTCCCCGGGAGCTCGCGGAGGGCGCTCCAGGCACACACTGTCCTCCAAAGGGGGAGGGACGGACGCAAGTGAGACCCCATAAACGCCTGGGCTGCACACGCAGGGCCCCGCTTCTCCGTCGTCAGGTTTCTCAGCCGCGCCCGGAACCCGCCGGATCCCCCTCCATCCCCGCGAGCATCTGTTTAGAGTTGAGCTTTGCCCCCCAGGGTGAGAGGCCTTTGACAGCAGCAGAATAAAACGCCTGGCGTGTCACCAGGTCACGTCGGTCACCAGATAAACCTTACGGTGCGTGTAAGACGCGTGTTCCCAGGCCGCGGGAGTCCTGCCCCTCCGAGGTCGGCAGGACTCGCGTTTTCCTCCGCAGGAAGCGGGCAGCGGGTCGCCATGGCCTCGCCATCGGCTCAGCAGCTGGAGGAGGACGACGGCCTGAGGGGCTGCGAGCTCTACGTGCAGAAGCACGGCGCCCAGCAGGTGCTCAAGGACTGCATCGTGCAGCTCTGCATCTCCAAGCCCGAGCGCCCCATGAGGTTCCTCCGGGAGCACTTCGAGAAGCTGGAGAAGGTTAGTGGCTCCGGCACCCGGCCCTCCCCCCGCCCACCCCCTAGCCGGTGCAGGGGTGTGTGTGTGGCGCTGAAGCCCCGTCGGGCCTCCCCTCCGCTGCCTGCGTGCTCAGGAGGGGGCGGGGCGCCCGCGGGACGGCCTCCTGCGGCTCTTTGCGGGGAGGTGAGCAGGGAGGCCACGGTGGCTTCATTCCCGCCACGGAAATCCTCTCTTCTTCCAGTGGCTCAGGGTCTCAGGAGGCCTCCTGGAAGGTGGTGCGGACGTTTGGGAACTGCTGGCTGTGACTATAGCTTGGGGGGTCGATGGCGGTTCTCGACTTCGGGGACTGCTTAGAGATGCCATTGGCACTGGGGTAAAAGGAAACAGCCCTGATAGAGTGTGGCGGGCCGTTGGAGGTCAGATTCCCTCGCTGGCCTGCCCCTCAGACATGTGGGGGGTGTACGTGCCACACCCGCCCCCTCTCTCCTGAGGAGGGAATCGCCCAGCTCACTCCTGCGTGGATGACAGCTCTCACCCCCCTTCCTGGTTCATCCTGGGGGCTCGGGGCTAGGAAGCAAAAGGCTGGGGCAGGAGCCTCTTGTGGTCCCGTCCAGCTTTCCCTCCCCGCCTCACGCCTCCTGCCTTCCTCCCTGGCCACCCAGATCTCTCTCTGGGGTGACCTCAGGTTCCTCCTCGTGGTCTTTGTATCACGACCTACCTGTCCCTGGGGACTGAACGGGACCCCAGCTGGGGCCCAGGTCTGTTTTAAGCACCTCTGTGTCCCTGAGCTCAGCGGTGTTTTACTTCTGATGGGCACTCCTGTGGACAGAGGTAGCCGTAATGCAAAGGAATGGATTCATTTCTTCCCTTTAGAACAGTCTGTTAAAACACATTTTGAAGTAATACATGCCTTTTAAAGAAAAATTGAAAAGTTCAAAAGTGGAAAGAAGAAGTAGAAATCACCTGGAGTCCTTTCCACCTGTTCCCCCCCAACCGTGCATTGTGGTTTTGAAACATAGTTGGAATCATGTTACGGATGCAATTTTATATTTTATGTTGTTCATTTGTTATACATTCTTCATGGTCCTCAGTGTAAGTGATTGTGTAATGTGTTGAGAAGATCCAGAAAAGTTTTCTCAATGTTTTTCTCATGATTAGACAGTTGAGTTCTTTCCAGTGTTTTAATATTAAAAATAACACCACCCATTTTTAATTTGGGTTGTTGGTTTTTTGGATATTGAGCTCCATGAGCTGTTTGTATGTTTTGGAGATTAATCCTTTGTCTATTGTTTCATTTGCAAATACTTTCTCCCATTCTGAGGGTTGTCTTTTTATCTTGTTTACGGTTTCCTTTGCTGCGCAAAAGATTTTAAGTTTACTTAGGTCTCATTTGTTTATTTATTTATTTTTAAACTTTTCATTACTCTGGGGGGGGGTCAGAAAAGATCTTGCTGTGGTTTTATGTCAGAGTGTTTTTCTCTAAGAGTTTTATAGTGTCTGGTTTTACATTTAGGTCTTTAATCCATTTTGAGTTTATTTTTGTGTATTGTGTTAGGGAGTGTTCTAATTTCATTCTTTTACATGTAGCTGTCCAGTTTTCCCAGCACCATTTATTGAAGAGGCTGTCTTTTCTCCATTGTATGTTCTTGCCTCCTTTGTTGTAAATTAGGTGACCATATGTGAGTGGGTTTATCTTTGGGCTTTCTATCCTGTACCACTGATCTATGTTTCTGTTTTTGTGCCAGTACCATACTGTCTTGATTACTGTAGCTTTGTAGTATAGTTTGAAGTCAGGGAGCCTGATTACTGCAGCTCCATTTTTCTTTCTCAAGATTGCTTTGGCTATTTGGGATCTTTTGTGTTTCCATACAATTTTTTGTCCTAATTCTGTGAAGAATGCCATTGGTAGTTTAACAGGGATTGCATTGAATCTGTAGATTGCTTTAGGTAGTATAGTGATTTTCACAATATTGATTCTTCCAATCCAAGAACGTGGTATATTTCTCCATCTGTTTAAATAGACATTTCACCAAAAAAGACATACAGATGGCCAAGAGACACATGAAAAGATGCTCAACATCACTAACTATTAGAGAAATGGAAATCAAAACTGCAATGAGGTATCACCTCACACTGGTCAGAATGGCCATTATCAAAAAATCTAGAAACAATAAATGCTGGAGAGGGTGTGGTGAAAAGGGAACCCTCCTGCACTGTTGGTGGGAATGTAAATTGATACAGCCACTACGGAGAACAGTATGGAGGTTCCTTAAAAAACTAAAAATAGAAGTACCATATGACCCAGCAATCCCACTACTGGGCATATACCCTGAGAAAACCATAATTCAAAAAGAGTCATGTACCACAATGTTCATTGCAGCTCTATTTACAAAAGCCAGGATATGGAAGCAACCTAAGTGTCCATCAACAGATGAATGGATAAAGAAGATGTGGCACATATATACAATGGAATATTACTCAGCCATAAAAAGAAACGAAATTGAGTTATTTGTAGTGAGGTGGATGGACCTAGAGTCTGTCATACAGAGTGAAGTAAGTCAGGAAGAGAAAAACAAATACTGTATGCTAACACATATACATGGAATCTAAATAATATGGTACTGATGAACTTGGTGGCAGGGCAGGAATAAAGACGCAGACATAGAGAATGGGCTTGAGGACACAGGGTAGGGGGGAAGGGGAAGTTGGGGCAAAGTGATAGTACCACTGACATATGTACACTACCAAATGTAAAATAGCTGGTGAGAAGCAGCTGCACAGCACAGGGAGATCAGCTCGTGCTTTGTGACCACCTAGAGGGGTGGGATAGGGAGGGTGGGAGGGAGACGCAAGAGGGAGGGGATATGGGGATACATGTATGCACATGGCTGATTCACTTTGTTGTACAACAGAAACTAACACAGCTTTGTGAAGCAATTATACTCCAATAAAGATGTATTAGAAAAATAATGCCACAGGGACATATTTGTACATAGATTTTTTTCCTGTATGTAGTAGTGTTTAGTACAGCTTTTCGGAGATGGAATTTTTGAAATTCCAGGTGGAATTACCAGGTCACAGAAGTCCTGTTGGTGTTGTCAAGGAGCTCTCCAAATGCAGCATTGATTCAAGCCCCACCAGACAGTGTGCTTGTAGCCACCCACCCTAGTCAGCTTTGGCTGTTTTAATTTAAAAGCCTGTTTTTCAGGGACTCCCCTGGCGGTCCAGTGGTTAAGACTCCACCCTTCCAACACAGAGGGTGTGGGTTCGATCCCTGGTTGGGGAACTAAGATCTCACGTGCTGCGCAGCCAATAAATAAACAAATGAACCTTAAAAAAATAAATAAAAACCTGTTTTTTAGTTGATAGGTGAACATGGCGACGTGGCTTTAATCTTTGGTTACTTCCGAGGTCGCCATGTATGGGAGGAGTCCAGTCGCTGGCCTGTGCACAGAGGACAGGGGACTGGAGCAGGGGGGTGGGGGGGTGCTTGTTTCCTGCACGTTTGAAGAGGGAGGGTCAGGTGGGTGACAGTACATCCTCATTTAACTCTACTTGTTCGCAGATGACCCCAGCCAGGTGACATGTCTCACAGGACGGGACTTCTCCGCCGGACCAAGGCAGGGAGCCCATTAAGAGGCCAGAGGCAGGGTCCAGGCCAGACCTGAGCTGAGGCTGCAGAGTGAAACTAGAGCAGAGGGTCTCAGCGGGGGACCTCTTGCCCCCAGGGGACATTTCAGTGGCCAAGATGCTTTTGGTTGTTAGACTTGGCAGGGGTGAGGCTGCTTCTGTCCCCTGGGGGTGGAGTGAGAGGGTGAGGTAGGCCGTTTTCTTTGGGGGGCCTTTCCGGTCTTGCTGGTGGATTGGGGGTGGGGTGAGGAAAGAGGCATGGGCGGTGACTCCTCGGGTTTGGTCCGAGGCCTGAGTGAAGTCCTGAGCCAAGAAGGGGCCAGTGGGAAGAGACGGAGACAGGGTTGGACAGGAAAAAATTAAGAGTAAGGCTTTGGATGTGCTCAAGTTGTCAAAGAGGCTATGAGTTTGGAGCTTGGGGGAGAGGCTGGGGCGAGCACAGGGGTTTAGGAAGATTCATTGATCATTCTTGCCTGGAGAGGCAAGTTATTACCTGCCTTTGACAGCTGAGGACCGAGGTCTGGAAGAGGTAGGGTGACTTGGAAGGCCTAGGTTCCAGGCTTCGGGGCTGATTTGGTGGATTCTCTGAAATCGTGTGCAAGCTTTTATAGGCGGGTGCATTTTACTGGGGAGAACGTCCCCAGTGTTTGCAGTGGATGTTCAAATGGACCTGGGATCCCCAAATGTAAAGTGCCTGAAGGTGTCCTGAGACCCCCCGGGGGGTCTCATTTCCTGCTGCGTCTGCTGAGCACGGTGACCAGGGAGCTGCTTCAGCCTGGGAGCAGGAAAGGCTCTGGCTTTGGGGCCGCGGTGTGCTGGGTCCCGGGGCCCCTCTCTCTGCAGGAGGCTGGCCAGGCCGGAAGCCTGGGGAGGAGCAGTTTTCTCCACTTGTGTGGAGAGCAGGAGGCGTGTGTGTGAGGCCTTGATAAGCACAGAGGCTGCAGCTGCCGGCACAGCTTGGTGGGGATGGCCCAGCTCTCGGGGTGCTGCCTGGGCCGGGGTGTGGCACCCAGTGCCCAGGCCTCTGTGAGTGAGCCGGTGAGGAGGTGGCCTTATTCCAGGGTGGAGGCTTGAGGGGGGAAGATAGTCCATACCCGCCGGCCAAACACAGCCTTGGAGCTTCTCCAGGATTCAGTCTTGTGGCGGATCGTGTGATGATAAAAGTCATCAATCCCTTTAACAGTGGATTTTAAATTGTGCAGGAAAGATTACTTTATACAAGTGTGCCCGTGACCCTGCACCTACGTACCCGCCCTACATTTTCCCAAGGACTTTTCTGGACCCGCAGGAGACGCTTACATACGGATGTGTATAATTGTATATATGTGCAGTTTTTGTTTGCTTTTTTCTTCTTGGTAGCATTTTTTATTGTGGTAAAACATACACGACAT